ATACAGTCAAACAGAATGTTGGACCAACCTTTCCAGAATGGACTGAAGGGTTCCCTGTCCCCACCTGCACTTCTCCCAGGAATGAAATTTGGCCTGATGTTGGATTAAAGCCGTTCACGTTTGAAAGCAACCATTGTTAGATGGCAAAAAGATTCTGTCAATTTGATTTGTGTTCCCCCAAAGAGCCCGCAACCATTGCCCACAAAGTGCCCGGTGAACCGTAAGACACTTTCAGAAGGCCCAATGTTCAACCAATTACCACCAATCAATTGTTGTCACCAACCAACTGCCACCAACCAATTGCCACCAACCAATTGTTGTCACCAACCAATTGTCACCAACCAACTGCCACCCACCAATTGCCACCGCCACCAACAAGCTGCCGCCAACCGATTGCCAGCAACCAATTGCCACCAACAGACTGCCACCAACCAATTGCCACCAACCAATTGCCACCAAGAAACTGCCACCAACCAATTGCCACCAACCAACTGCCACCAACAAGCTGCCACCAACCAACTGCCACCAACCAACTGCCACCAACCAATTGCCACCAACCAATTGTCACCCACCAACCACCATTGTCCGCTCCTGTGTTTGGTGAAGTTGTTAACATGTGGGGTTATCCGGTCCTAATTTCAGGTTGTTTTTTATACATATCCCAGAGTCAATATAAAAAAATGATGATCAGCCTCTTTTGCACAGTTTCGAAGAAAATGCGTCAGTTTTGTGTTTAAAGGATGGATAATATGTCCGGAGGTGTTTAGTTAAGTGTGTGGCCACCACATGACCGACTTGCGCTAGTCAGCATTGACAGTCTGACTGAAGCATCAGAGTTGGCTGCACATGTTGTGATCATGTGTGTTGCCAGTTGCGGTTCAAGACACCCCGTGCTTGGTGTTTTCCCACAACAACATTCAGCCTTATTCAGCCGAAGAATATCTCATTTCAGCGCAGATGGAACATTTTCAACGATCAAGTGGAACCGCGTGTCGGTCTGCCATGGCGGAAGAAGTCGCTCACCCAGTGCAAAATGCGCGGAGCGAACAGAATGACAGATAGTTCAATTGTGTTTTCACCCTACATGTTGGAATCCCAATTCTTTCTTGGCAAGTCTCAATTCATGATGGTCCCTATCAAGACGATGGTTTGGTTATGTCCTGGCAGGGAATTTCGAGCTTATCTTCAATCCCCAGCTCACTTATCCCCAGCTCAGTTGTGCTGACACGTTTCACATGTTTTGCAGTTTTGATCTACTCAATCAAGACGTTCCGGCGCAATTATTAAACATGTTGCACCTTTATGTTGGATTTGTGGGTTGGTGTGTTGCACATCCCCAACCGGTCTCCGGTTGGTAACCCAACCTTTTGATGTCGGTTTTGGGACAACAACTCCCAACATTGTGGGTTTGCCCATTGAATGTTTTTTTGAACAGTGTATATATCCTTTTGATATCACATTTGATTTATTTGGGCAGTTTGATTCTTTCCTGTCATCGCTAGCGGTAACGCTGTCTGGTTTTTGCATGAACAAATGCTTTGACGACCAACTGGTCCGTGCAATGGTGCTGCTTTGCCAATGGCAGATCTTCATGCGGCAAAACAGAACCAGGCAGTTGGGTTTTGCTGCAAGCAGTTCAGACTTGTTCGATCTCCTGAAGCGGGAGGTGACCAGTCAGTTAGTTCAGTGACTGATCGACAAAACCGTTTTGAGGTGATCGCAGCTATATTTTGGTTTGATCTGGTGAACACAACCTGAACATCTGCAACTCCAAACACGTTCAAAAGACTTGACAAACATCTCAGGGATTGGTTAAAAAACACAATACCTATTTTCGTTGGATTCATGAGCATGGAAACCACATGACCTCTTTCTGGTGCAGACCAGATTTTCACCTGGCCCCAATGCTGGTTTCGGCCGACTTTGGAACCCCATGCTCTCCCCCAAGTCAGGAGCAGATTCTGTCCGCCAACTATTGGCGGCAGCTGTGTCCTCACTTGCATGTTGAAGACCCGGGCTATCAGGCCAAGGTTGGAGCGGTTTTTTCCAGCGCCGTTTTTTGGTGCGTGTGAGGTTATGGAGCGGGATGTTTGGATGGTGACAGTAGGGGATGGAGACAAGCTCGGGGATCACGCTGTGATGAGATCAAGCCTTGCTTGGAAAGCAGCCTGCAAGTCCTTCCAAAAATCGAGTCTGATTTGCTTTGAGGGTCGAAATTCACCCATTAGGAGATTTCTATCTACAGCTCATCCTCCGTTCGAGTCTGAACATGTTTTGCCACGTCGGGCACCTCTCGGTTCAGGGCGTCTGTCGCTTCGCCGTCACAGGCAGGAAAAGCACGGGGCATTCCTGCAAAACCAGAGGCTTGTGAAGAGGCCGACCGGGGAGGGTCAGAAGTGAGGCTGCAGGATGTAAGACAAGGTGTTTCCGAGAAACAAAAGAAGGTTTGAATCCGAGTGTAGAAGAATCTGAATGTTGGTCTTCCGGTCTTTTTTAAAGGCTTTTCAATCGGATTTCATGGGCTTGAATTCTCGCTTGAGCGCTTCGAAGCCGCGAAAGGTTGCAGAGTTCGAGCTTTTGGGTGTTATGTTTTTGATCCTTTTGGGGTGTGTCTGATCCACCATTTTCTTTGCAAGAGAAGAGAGTGCTTTTTGAGCTGCTTCGCCTGCCAACGGTCAGGTATTTCAGCAGCTTTTGGGGCCTTTTCCCATGTTACAAAGCCATAAAGATCGTCACAACCATTGGAGCTCGGGCAGCAACAGCTTGAAAACCCTCCACCTACGTTTACCCCACGAATCCCTGTGATTGGACAGTCCAACATTTCCCTGTCACTTGAAGACTGCTTGGCTCCGTGTCAGGTGAAAGAAAGAATCTTAGAGGAAGGCCACGGCAAGCCGCACCACGTTTTGATCCCACCAACTTCCCCAGTGAAATAAGACCGGCTGGCCAAGAAACAGGTGTTGGCTCTTTTGAGCTTGGTTCCAGCAAGCGAACCACCCTGGTGCAAAGGTGAATTTTGTTCATAGAAACCTTGCGGTGAACATGGCTGCAACTCGAATTTGTTCCTTTTCCTGTGCAACGGGTTCTGCCTCCGTGTGCAGGCAAGCTTTTCTTAAGATCCTGTCCTTGAACTCGGCATTTGCCCAACAAATATATGGCAGCTTCTGGTAGCTTCTGGCTAGTAAATTCAAGGTGATTGTGAACCTGAAAGCTTTCACTCCCCCAGCTGTTTCGGGCTCTCCCAGGCGCGTCGCGTCACGACGCGTCACGACGCGTCATGTCGCTAGACGCGGAGGCTTCGCCGCCTTGGCACCCTCGGATCTGTGCTGGTCCGTCTCGGTGGCCGACCTGGCCACAGGGGTTGCTCGGTTGGATTCACGCGGGGACCGGTGGTGAGTGCTGCTCACCATTTTAGTCATCGGAATTGGACATGGAACAGAGGTTTTTGAATTTGAGCTTCTCTTCAGCTAAATCCTATCCTTTGCAGCCTTTGCAGATTGCTTGCTATGCCAGGCTTCTGACCTAGTTCGACCTAGCCGCCTTCGGGTGGTGATCACCAGTTCGGGTGACTCGGTCGACCGGTCGACCGGGTCGACCGGGTCGATGTGCGGAGGTGTTCCAGCTCGAAGAGCATGGTTGGCCGGCCAGCTTCATCGCCATGTATGACGAAGCTTGGGTTATGGCGAGGCACCAGTTGATGTGGCACATCATAAGCTGCCCCCCAAAATAGAATCCAAGCATTTCTGAGCCCGAAAGTTGAAGGTGTATAGAGACATGCGGTCTGGCCGCTTGAGCTCAGTGTACTTATATCAGCTGCTGCTTGGCACCTGCGTTCCTGGCAGGGATGCGGCCGAAGTGATGCAGCAAGTCACGGGAAACAGCTCCTTGCATGCGTGGAATGGGTGTGTTTTGGACGCTACTAGGAGCAAAGGGCATTGCTACTAGGAACAAGAAGCTAGTAGGGGCTCCTGGCCATACTACTAGGAACAAGAAGCTAGTAGGAGCTCCGGCCTTACCACTAGGAACAAGAAGTTACTAGGGGCTCCTGGCATCGCTACTAGGAGCATTCTTACTACTAGGAACAAGAAGCTAGTAGAAACAGGTGTGTTTTGGACTGGGGACCTCGTGGTCGCTGGCTCGCTCCATGAGGCCTTTGCATGGATGTGGTGGCATTCCTGGTGCGTCCCTCACAGACGAAAGGCTTCTCACCGCATCGGGACAGGCGGGATGTGGAGTTCTTTCGTTTGAGGACTCGAAGCTGGATTTCCAACAAGGAATGGTCATTTGTGTTTCAGGTTTTCTTTGCCTGTAGAGGCATCAAGATTGGACGGATGTTCAATTCATTGACTTTTGCGAGTTGGACTTCTTTCTTTACCTTCCATTCTTTAAAAGGTCACTTTATCACTCTTTTAGGGCGAAGAAGGTTCCACAAGACGTGAACGGAACTTCGCGAAGACGTGAATGGGTTCCGTGACGTTCCGAAGACTGGGCTTGGTGAGGACGTCGTTGGCATCTCGTTAGGCAACCTGAAGACTGGGTGCCCAAGGGCGCTGCGCCGGAGACCTGTAGCACCTTCAAGAAGGAGACCGGCCACGTGGAGCTTTGGGAGGGAAGGAAGACTGAGTGGGTGGTTTGTTTGGGAGTGCTCTGGTTTGTTTGGTTGGTTTGTTCGGCTTGTATGCTTGGCTTCTATGAGGTCTGAGACTCTCCCAGACACGTCTGAGAGTCTCTTTTCTTCACTACTCGGAGAGTTGGACCAATGTCAAGCACAAGCCAATCACAAAGATACGGCATAAGAATGTCAAAGAACCATTCAAGCATGTCCAATGTCATTTGACATGTTGGACATGTCAAAGACGCATTTTTCGTTGGACCTTGTTTCAAAGCAAATCACAAAGAATCACACAAGAACCGTTTCCAGGCCCCCACATCTCAGCACATGCTCCCAGGCCCAGGCCCCCACAAGCTTTCTTTTTGCCAAATATCCTCAAAAGGATGGCATGGCCAAGTATGTGACGCTCTGGGCTGCGCTGACAGATGCCACTCCTGACAATTCCTGCTTGCACTTCGTGCCAAAGAGCATCGATCCAGGCACCGGACCCTGTTGGAAGGGTGCAAGCAGCATCGACCCATGCGACCTGTGTGACCACTTTCATTCAGTGGAATTCCCAAATGGCTTTTGCTCGGTGGGTTCAGGGGGCTTTCTCCCCTGAGGCTACTCGGCAGGAGATCCAGAAGAGGGCGATCCTTTGTTGAGGATCTTCCAGGATAAGGCACCCAGGGCTGGGGAGAAGAGCCCCAGAGACAAGGATAGGTCCTGTGGGTGCATCGTGAAAGGTGACAAACCCGGTTGTCCATTGTTTGGGTTCTTCATGAATCAAGAAACATGAAGATCACCCAATGAGCTGTTCAGCAAGATGGGAAGTGGCTTTTCTTTTCGATGATACTTTTGGTTTCTGGGCCTTTTCGGTGCACGGCTTGTGTGTGACCACGTCCCACTGTGGATTGGACCATGTCCCTCTAGGCCGCCTACCAAAAGATCCGCAGCGTGCCAGTGGCGGCTGGAGGCCGACCACGTGCGCCAGTGGGCCGTGTGAAAACAAAGGATTGGCGGTCGAGTGCTAGTGAAGTGTGGCATGGCGGTGAAAGAAGAAAGAACGTTTGGGGATTAGACTTCATCCGGAGAAGGCAAGCAATCTGAAGAGCCGAGAAGACGGCGTGCTGAAATTAACCTGCAGAGCATAACATCAGGAGAGGCTTCACAAGATGCGTAGGCAGGTGCGAGTAAATCCAGAGAACCTCCCGCACCAGTCTAGCAACCACACGGGCGCCACAAACCGCGCCGCGGCGTTCGCCTGGACGTTTTCAGGCTGCACCTTCCATACGCATCGCACCATCCACTGGGGCAGTGCTGGCCGGAGCTCCGCCGCAGTTCCGCCGCGTGTGGCCTTGTCCTTCGGAGCCTCGGACGGAGCTTTTGGAAGAAACGGTGGTTGGGAGAGTTTTGATTCTCAAAGGTTGGTGCTATCTTGAACATGGTGGGATCATCTCCATATTCCAAACCAAAATTCTGTTGGCTCTTGAAGCGTGTGTTGTTATCTTTTGCAGCTTCTGCCGCTCCGAAGGGGTTCCCATCCGGCTTCTAGAAGTTCCAAGGGTCCATCCTGGGTGAACAAAGGATTTAGACAAGACACGGGGGATTGAGACAGCCCTGATGGCCAGAACACAATGGAAACCTAAGTGATTCAGACTGGGTGAAGTAAATGACATGGGTGATTCAGACTGCAAGATCAAGTCCAAGACACAGCTGGTTGCATTGCTTTTTCCTTTTTCTGTCGTGTGAGTTGGCTAAAAGCATTTCCTTGGCTTGCAACCTCCGAGGCTTTAGCACGCAGGAGTGCGAAGTGAAAGCGGAAAGATTCTCCACACGACTCGAGCTGAAGCATTGCTCGACTCAAAAATAGAATGTTTTCATCCAGGAAACAACCCGTTCTTTTTGTGAGAGACGGTGCGGCACGGTATGGACCTTGACCATCCACTGGGACAGATGGCTGGAGCTCAAAGTTTGGCAGGTCGTTTTCACGCGCGTTTTCAAGCGTGTTTTCAAGCAAGAAGACATGATCTTGCTAACAATTGTGAACTGCTTGCAGGATTTTGAACCTCCCTACTTTTCCCCGAAGGCGCAAATCCATCCGAGCTGGCAGAGCATGTGATGTGACCTGCGTCGGATTGAATGAATCTCTGTAGCTCCATTCATGGAACGTGTGAACACAATGGGTGACTGCATTGACTGTTATATATATATATATCCCCAGACAACGCTGTTTCTGCAGACTGCGTGCCATGTGTGACTGCAGCGCCCAGTTCGTGTGAGGCGCTGCCCTTTCCAGATGTGAAGCTACGGGCCGCTCTGGCATCAGACTCTCGCCTCTGATGTTTATATTGACTACCAAGTCACAGTCAAATGAAAAGCTCCAGATGACGGTTGGACCATCGTATAAAGGCAACATGATTGTCAGGCATGATTGTCATGACTGTTTTATGTAGAGATTATATTTAGTATGTTGGGGCATCAAGGAAGACAGAGAAGTGCAGACAGGCGCCTTTGTTTTCACAACCTCAGGCGCAGGTGATTAACTATGAGCCTTGCTTGCAGAAAGCTAAGTGGACCACTTCTTTTTCAGATTGAGCTCCAAAGCCTGCAGCATTCCAAGCATGATTTTGAGTTCAGTTCGTTTTTTGACTTTGAGCAGGCATGTTGCTCACCAGTTTTTTCTTCGTGCGAGTGTGTAGTGTGTAAAATACCAAAGAGGATATGAAATAAGCATTCTTCACCAAAGAGTATATCCCATATTCAGGTGGAATTATCCTTCAGCATCGCCCAGTCACCCAGCTCCTTTCCTTCTCTGGTCGATCGCAATCCTTGCGATCGGCCCAGTCGACCCTGGCTGTGGGAGACCAAGAAGGATGGACGGCCTTGGCAGGCGTGTGTGTTGGGCCCCCGGCGCTGGGGGTTGGCGTGGCGGTCCGACCGTGTGAACTGCCGGGGGTTGGCGGGGCCCGACAGACCCCAGGTGAGTTGATGAGGAAAGAAATCTCTCCTGACGCCCCCCCCAGAAGGAAGGTGACCTTAGGCCTCTTAGGCTGTGGCTGGTGGAGAACACGCACGTCCACATACCATTGGTATACATCTCATTTTTTACTCTTAATTTTTTGGAAGGGTTCCGTTCTTAGGCATCGCTGGTGTGGAGTCAACTGATGGCGTCTGTGAAGACGCAATCCGTGCATGTTGACTGTGGACTCAAGTTCTGATATCCTTCATCAAGCACGGGTTGCCTCTTGACAAAGTCAAGTGGCCCCGACCCCATGCAGCCAGCACCATAGGAGTGTTGGGTGGGTTCACCTCGACACGGTCGATCCAGAAAACAGCACAGCTCTGGCAAAAGAAGCAGACCATCTTCTTGCCCCAGATGTCTGGTCCTCCCTTTGTTTTGTGGCGATTTGTTGTCCCAGGTCGTGTCCTCCCATCGTTGCCTCGCTCCAGGCGCCATGGCCAACTGTGGTGCCTCGCAGCTGCGCTTGCTCCATCGGGTCTTCCAGAGCCAAGTGAAGCTTTGGTCGATGGGTCGATGGGGCGTGCCATTGGCACGGTTGGTGGTGTCAACCTGTGGTAGGGCAGATGCTGTTTGTTTTGTATGTTTTTTTGATTGATCTTTGGATTATCAAGAGGTCAAGGAGCCAATATGAAATTGGGGGTCAGTGGCGGATGGTCGACAGTTCCTTCAGCTGAAGAGTATGTACGAGTTCGAGTGAGGGCAGGATGTGGTGTTTTACTTACTTTATACACTTGTGTTGATGGGCCATCAGGAACATCAGCCCTCAAAAACATCCTAGGTTTCTGGTGCGTTCGCTTCCAGGCTAGCAGGATCAGCAGGTAGCTGGGATAAGTCATTTCTTGTTGTTGTGTTGAAACCAGAGAGGCGAAGAGGACAGACTCGTCAACCTGTTGCAGCCCAGGAAGCGATTCCACCCCACGTACCGAAAGGAATCCGCGCAAGCGTGCACTGAGCCCATTTGTGCAAGTTGGGCAGTTCTTTAGTTTCCAGAACTTAGTACGGTATGTGGGTTGTTCCATGGTTCTTTTTGAACAAATACATCTTTTGTTGTTCTTTTCTATTTTCATCACCATCTTTGCAGTCGTCGGAGAAAGGTTGCCAGACTTGCCTAGGGGAAAAGGTTGCCAGACTCCGCACACGTTGCGAGGAGATTGCGACCAAGTTTGTGTCGGTCTGCTTGAACCTCTCATCATTGTCAGGCGGGAAGTTGGTTCATATCTTGGCGGGAGGGAGTCCAGCGGCTACGCAGCGATTTGGTTCATTTTGGGGTAAGTGAAAAAGGTCTTGGTTCAGTTTTGGAAGTGTTCAACACAAGCGCGCCGAAGAAACTGCTCAACCTACAGCACTCATATAATATCTTGACATCTTCAGAGATGCACCGGTCTGCACCGCTGCAGCTCCAGGAGATGTTCCAAATGAAGATCTTGAGGAGCTGCTTGAGTCACCTTCGATTGTTCGCCCATCCAGTCATGTGAACTCGCGAGAACTCCAGCGGTTCACGCGCGAGTTCGTGTTGTGACCAGGAGACAGAGAAAACCTTGCCAAAGAAGCAAGGAAAGCGAAAGAAGAAGCAATTGGCCAGGCTTCAGGCCAACGAGGCCCTGAGCACTTTTCTTATGCCCTTTCTTCAATTTTTGTTGCAGGCTTTGGAGGAACTCTATGGTGATAGTATGGTATTCAATTTGTTGGATGGAAGACCCAGTGGATAGTTCGAATCGTTTCCCAAACGATCTCATCCAAGGTACTTAAGTTGTAACTCACCCATCATTGTGAGGCCAGTGTAACCTTTTCCTGTTTAATGTTTAGTGAGAGGATAACCTTTGTGAGGCCGCCAGCGACGAAGATGATGATGCCTTGCTGACGATGCTGGAAACGGAAGCTGCTACCGGCGAGGCGTGTTGCTGTTGTTGGTGCATTGGGCCGCGTTGGGAAGAAGATTTGAAGGCAAGACCACGTAGGTGGACCTCCCAGTCTAGTCTGGTCGTAAAGGACAACATATACAGCGAAATCGGGTGGTCCAAAATACCCAAATTCGTTGGCCTCCGAATGCTGCGGGGGGGCCACCGGGAAAGAAAAGATCACCGTTCGTTTTGGGGAGAAATGTTCCGCAACGTTTGGACCCTTTGGGGCAACGGCCGACGGACCAGAGGACCTGTGAGACAACATGGAAACGGCTTTGGAGCGGGAGAATGGGAGAATGGGAGAATGGGAAGGCTACTGCTAGTAGCTTCTTCTACTAATCACGATGCACTTAGGTTACTAATAGCGATGCCCTTGCTACTAGCAAGAGTAGCATCAGTGTGGCTACGAGTTGTGCATTTACAGTTTCAGGTGCTCTTCCATGATGATTTTGCATCGCAGCTGCAAGCAGAGGGAGCGACTTACAGCCAATGAGCGGCATTTCCAGCCCGAGAACCATGGTGTCTGGGTGCCGATGAGTTGTGTCCGTCCTCGGCATCGCTCAGGATCTGCTGAATGCCGATGCCGAAGTCAAAGCACCCAAGAAGGCTGGTCAGTGGGAAGAAAAGAGAGGGTGGCACCATCTCCGTTGGGGGCCGCGCCCAGCTTGGGCTTAACTGACTGCAGCGTTTGGTGTGGTCGTCCAACTCCAGGAGGGCCGAGCGGAAACTGGACGGGAGGCCGAACAGGCCGAGAGGGTACGGAAGCTTTCTCGTTTTGGAAGAGGCATTGGAGGATGAGGATGGGGTGAAGATGGAACATGACTCCGGAGTATCATGCCAAAGCGAAGCTGTGTCGGGGAAGATGTTGCTTTTTGCAGGTGCGAAGGAAGCACCTCAGAGGCATATGGCTGGCAGATGGGTTTGCACAAGTTGTAGGCGGCTCATAGGCTTTTCCATTGACTGGTGGTCGTGCATTGATGTGTTTGTTTCGGCTCGGATGATTCCTCATCACCATGTGGCCGAAGCGTTTGCTGCCAAGGAAACGATCCAGGGCCTGAGGGCGGCATCTCGAGTATTGCTTTGGTAAAAATGAGTTCAGCGGAGGATCAGCAGGAACCATTGTGTGTGTGACCGTGTGGGTGAAAGATCGTTGACGAAAGTTAGAGAAATGATATGATCGCCGATGAAGTTGGATCTCTAACTCGAAAAAGAGGAAAACGATGGACAATGTTTGATCTCATACCCATGCATGTAGAGCACCATGTCATGCCCCAAACTCTCCACGACGACCGGTCTGTTGGTGATAACATGAGTGACGGCTGAGGCCGAGGGGAAAGCTCCTCCAGCAGTGCCCGAGGCAGCCCCGGAGGTGGAGGCAGCGCCGGACGCGGCGCCAGAGGCGGCGGAGGCAGCGCCGGAGGCAGTGCCAGAGGCAGTGCCAGAGGCAGCAGCACCTCCGGAGGTCGCGCCGGAGGCTCCACCAGACGTCGCTGTGGAGACCGCACCCGAGGCGGGGCACGACGAGTGGTAGTGGTGAAGGTGGAAAATGATGGCTGATTGCCACTTGAAGGATTACAGATCATTGAAAAGAAAGCACCATATTATTCATGTTGGAGCTGGAGTCTGGAGCTGTGCTTGCTCATGCCTGCTCCTCAGGATACTCCGGTGCAGGACGAACCAGGTCTGGAAGGGTTTGCTGAAAGGGAACAGTGATCAAATGCAGAGCCAAGCTACAGAGTGCTGCTCATAGTGCGTAGCCTCTTCGCTGCCTGTGGCTCAAATACAGGCTGTCGGCAAAGCAACTAAGCCAGCCAGATGGATGCATGGTAAAAAGGTTTACCCCAACATACCACCGTAGCGAGACGGTGGCAAGGCTTTTCAACGGCAAACACCGCACATCGACAACTCCACAACTGCATCAAGCGCTGACAAATCGCACCCTTGAGTCTCGGCCTTAGAGCGGACAAAGAGGGTGGGGGAATGACGAAAAAAAAGCCTGAGAAGCAAGGTTGGGACACTTGTGATATATTTTTTTGGTTTGGCTCAAGCTGTCAAGAAAGGTGTCAGTGGTCAAGAGCAAAGACTTTGAAGCTGTCGCATGATGTCTCCCAAGAGTTTCATGTGACTCCAAGTTGCAGCAAGCTTGACCCACATCTGACTCAGTCAGCTCGACATCACGAACGACGCGACCATGAGCTTCAAGCAGTGTCTGGACTTAAACCCATGTTCCATTTGCAACCTCCCATTCCCACAGAGACTCCGGGCAGCTGGCCTTTCGCCACATGGCGCTGCTGGGGGAGCCTCCTGTGCAGCCGGAGCGCCAAGATTTCAGCGCTCCGCTGCGTTATGCGCCTAAAGCGCCCCCTCAGCGGTCCGTGCGCACGCGCCGGAAGGAGGAGACGCGGCCTTGCCAGCTGCGGATCAATGCTGTGCCAAATGCTGCTGGCTCTGCCTACTTGGAGAGGGGCAGTGATGTTGGGTTGAAGGTTTGGAACCTCAAGAAATGGACCAAAACCGCCTGGAGCGGCCGTGAATGTGTGTCCTAGACCCTGGAAGACCCTGATGCCCTCATGAGTCAGATTGAGACTTGCGCCAGGAGCAGGGCCGCACGAAGATCTTAGCTACAGTCTACGGCCCGCGGCAAGCTGAACGAGATCGGCAGCAAGCACGGGCTGAGGGACAGCTCTTTGTGGAGGTGCATTTCGCGCCCTTTTGCGCGCGTGACTTCAACAAAGAGGAGGGGTTGACCAAGGGATTCTCCAGGGTCCCAACCAAGAGTTGGACTGGGGGGGGTCTTTTTTGGGTTTCGTGTTTCCTGAGGAGTCTGAGAAACGAGCGGTCCTTTACAACTCCATCCTGCAGAGCACTTTGGAGTCGGTGATTCTTCTAGAGACACTCGGCTCAGATCGACCGGCGAAAAAAAAGAACTGCGGCGCCCTTCTGAGCTTGAGCTTGTTTCAGAAGTGCTCTTTGACCGCTTTGGATCCACCGGGCAGTGCATTTTGGGAAGGTTAGCTCTGATATGCTTTGATGCTAGGTTGCTTGCACCAAGGAGATATGGAAAGACTGCCTTTGACGTCACCTTGCTGGTCCTGGAAGACGATGGTGCAGTGCTTACTGGAAGCCTGGCCGCAGCCTCCCTGGCGCTGGCAGATGCAAAGGCTTGGGTGCCGGGGGTCGGAAGACCAACTCCCATAGGCAACTAATTCTCAGCATCATTCTTTGGTTAGAGTCGTTTGATCAGTATGTAACCCTCAGATCAACTCTAATCATCCTTTGAGGGCGCTTTCTTCCTCCCCTGAACCCCAAGACGGCGATGGTCTTCAAGGACGACCAATTTTCGGGGACTCCCTTGAATCTAGAAATCCAGAATCCAGAATTGCTGTGTTGCAAGAGTACTATTTGCAATGGGAAATGGGTGCACAGGGTGAACCTGGCGACCGTTCTCACCCTACTCCGCAGGTGGAGATGCGGGACCTCATCGCCGGCGCCACGGTCCACCTGAAGCCGCGCGACGCGAGCGCGGCGGGCGGGGAGGAGCTGCTGTTGGACTGTGACCGAGCGGAGGAGCTGGCGATGCCCGAGAAGAGTGCCGTGCTCCATCTGGGGCTCTGCCCGGCCCGAGGTGCAGATGAGACCACTCATGGGACGAGGAAAAAGAAAACCACCTGGTCCCATAAGTCCAAACTCGATGTCCCAAGACTTGGACCACTCTCCTGTTGCCTGGCCGCGCGTTGGGGAGGCCTGGTCTGCTTGCTTCACTCGGTGGGCCCCTTGCCACCGAAGCCCTTCGAGCAGATGGTGCTCCTGGCGAAGGACACGGCGGAGGCCTTCGGCGCAGAGATGCGGAGGTGCTTGCAGGACCAGGCCGACCGCGGCTGGCGCGGTTGGGACGGGGACCGCATGGGATTGCAAGTAGATGACCGAGGTGGTTCGAAACCATCTGAATTCATCAGCAAGACCGTGTAAAGATGTATAGAACACGATCGAAAGTCAGATGCCATTGATAGGTTTTTTGGGGTCAGAGATCAGTGTGATGTGCATTTATCTCAATGTCTCATTTTCCCAAGATAATAGTTTGATCTGACCAGGTTCGACCCCGTTTCTCCGGGCTACCATCCCTCCACCGTTGCCGCGTGGCGGACCTTCCCCCGACAGGTTCACCGACGCGCAGAGAAGAAGCGAGCGCGCTCCTTCGGCGAGATCCTGGAGGTGCGTTCCGGGGCGATCCTGTCCGGAAAGGAGGATGGGGGATCGGATCCAATGCCATGGTTTGGGTCGGTCCCCCCTCCTGGTTGGTTCAGAGAAAGAGGTGGGAATGGACTCTCCCCATCTATCGCTCAAGTGGTCGGTCCCAAACCTGGAGCCAAACCCGGGATCTGACCGCGGTCGGGTTTGGAGCGGGGTGTGACTGGGCGCCCGGGCGCCAGCAGAATCCGCGTCGTGGTTTCATCGAACCGGAGCGCCCTGGTCTTTTCAATCTGCTTGAAAGCCCTTCTGAAGAGCGACAAAAAGGGCACTCCGAGGACAGCTGTAGCAACTACTGGAAAGTGGTTCGTCTCAAGGCGATGTTGTGTCCAAGGGTGATGGGTTGGATCATCGTCCCACGGTGTGGACTCATTCTGTGATGGATTCTGGTCGGCGAATAGAGAACATAGGGGTGAACACATCGAGCTCCATGCATGCGCTGGAACACAGTCGCCCTGGAGGTCGATAGCAGCTTCTTGGATGAAGACATGGCCGTGCTGGATGATGGCTATGGCTGAAAACGGAACAGCTGATGCAAAAATGGTGCCATGGAGGGTTGGTTTCTTTTTCCCTTTGCTGCATGTGGTTTCTTGAATGCTGAGAATTCAAACCGAGGGATGGCCTGTGATCTCCCCCCAAGGCCATGCGAGGCAGACTTGCTGGTCTCAGCCGGCTGGGATGGCATGTGAGGCCAGCGGAGATGGCTGGATGGTTCTTCCGTCCCACCAGTCTTTTTGAAGAAGACCACAGGAAAGCCATCGGTCAACTTCTTAAAGCTCCTTGTTTATAAACGAAGACAGACCAGGAGTGCTCTTCCGTTCTTCAATGTAATGTGTCATTCTCTTTTGGAAGGGAAGCCACAGATGCTTGGGGCGTTGCGTGGCCGGTGCGTGGACCGCGAGGTCAAGAGGTCCAGCGTTGGCATTGGCACCAGCGTTGCAGATCCCAACCCTCCAGGCGCCCGGGGTGGACAATGCCCAGGGTGGACAGAGCATTGGTCTGGTCATTCTGAGGTGGCTTGGTGGATGGCTTGGTTTGTTTTTGATTCTTTCTTAGTCACTATGAGCAATGCTCATCAACACTGATGCATGAATTCGCATCATCTTGCCAATCAGCCAATCTCACCAATGCCTTTGAAATGGTCCTCTTGTCCTGCGAGCCATTCATTTGCCGCTGATTTGGGTGGTCGCCAGGGCGGTTTGGACGCTCAACGCCGTGGCATGAAGCTCACACCACGTGAGCTGGACCATCTACGACTCTCCCAGGTGCGACAGAGGGTGAGGACTTTGATCCAGGAAGTTGTGATTATCCGCACGACGTGTTTCAAAAAAGGTTGAGGCTATGATCACTTGGCCTTTTGAACACACTTGCTTTGTTGCTTTGCACTGTGCCATCACATTTGATTACATCGGGTCGGGTTGATTACATAGGGAAAGCTGCTTCTGGGGCATGTGTCAAGCGATGTGAGGTCATCCCATGGAAGCTGTCACTGGTGGATCTATCTCGTACCCTCCGACTCACTAACATGGAAGTGGACCACTCTTCTTCCCGCAAGGAAGATTACTTTTCCGGATGTGCTTCTCCATCCACGTAACCACGTATATAACCATGTGGCCTCTGCGTTCGGACCAACCGCTTTGTCGTGCGTTCGGACCAACCGCCCGCCTGTCCAAGGCTGGGCAGCTCGCTCAACGCCGCTTGGCGCGGGGCTTGCGGCTGAATCATCCGGAGGCGGAAAAGTCGGGTGGACTGGGAGACTGGGAGTGCAAAGGCCTTTAGCCTACGTGGCTTCTGGAGGCTTACGTGGCTTTTGGAGGAATTTAATATGGGCTGACCCAAGCAGGTACGATGTTGGATGATATGGATCAAAACGATGACGCGCGTTTCAGAAACGATTCTGCAACCACAGCTTCAGCAAGCATGTTTCAGGAACTATGTGCGTATCAGTGACTACGTTTCAGAATCTCTGTGCGTTTCAGGAACCACGCTTTTGACACACATGCCTTTCAAGAACCACAATTGCAACAGTATGTAACTTTGTGTCGACACTTGCTGGCTTGGGGGGTGGGTGGGTCTGGAAGGGGTTGAGGCCAACATGGTGACGGGCTCTTGGGTCTTGCGACAGATCTAACTCAGTGTAGTGGAGGGGGGGTGAGGTGGGTCGGGAAACATGCCGAGTTTTCACCACATTCCAAACATTTTCTAAAAGCCTAGGCAGTTTCTAGCATTCTAGCCATAGTTCAAGAAACATAACATAATTTCAGAGAACCATGGCCTTTGGGATGAGGTTTGGCATGGACACTAGGCCAAGAGTGGCCTAAGCCTGATTGATTGTAGAGGAGCAAGTAACAGTTGCCAAAGGGTTTTGGGGTGATTGTTTTCTCGATAGCAATGGCAGAAACAACATGTTTACAGCGCGAATCGGGTGCTTTTTTATGTTGTCGGTAGAGGGCAAAGGAGCAGCAAACATTTCTTGCTTCTTCGGCGCGTAGCTACCAAAAACTACATAAAGCTACCTAATAAGAACCAAACCAAAAAAGAACCTTGAACTCCATCGCTCCTAGGTTGGAGGTCATCCCTCCTAGGTTGGAGGCCATCGCTATTATTAGGTTGGAGGCCATCGCTCTTAGGTTAGAGGCCATTGCCAAAAGAACCTTGACTGACCTCCGGCTGCTCCTTTTGCAGGCGGTGGCGCTCTTGACCAGTCAAATGATGGAGTTGGTGGCCCTGGAGAAAGCCACCCAACTGATCCGCTCCCCACCCCAAAGAAGACCACCAACTGATCCGCTTTCTTGCCAATGTCAAAAGCAAAACTCATCCCAAAAACATGGCGGATGTATGCGGATGTCCTGTTTAGCTGTCTTCCTTTGATGTCCTGCCCTTTTACTTTAAAGATTATACCTCACGTCGTCTCCCCAAAACCGACATCTCACCTGGCCTGACGGCGCAGACCGCCTCCCCTCGACGGCGATCCGATGGCGGCGAGTCGGAGGTTCATCCGCGACGGCGAGTCGGTGGCCGCGCTGATGGACCTGGGGAAGCAGCTCCTCGGGCGACGCCAGGCGGCCGGGGCGGCCGGGCGGATGGGGCCGAAGCGGATGGAAAACGGCGAGGCAGCGAGGAAACCGCGGGTGGAGGAGATGTGGTGGATCAGGTGATAGCGTTCTTTTTGGAGAGAAAGTTTCAATGGATGCAAAACATGTCCAAAAGCAGTTGATGGTGCCTCTTTGAATGTCTGGATCAGGTACTTCCAGGCGTCGAGAAGCTCATCCCGGATGTCCAGGTGACTTGCCTTGCTGAAGTTTGCTCAAGCATCAAGAGCAAGATCCCTGAGTTTATTCATTTTGACATTTTTGACGCAGCTTGTTGCCGATCTTGCGTATTTTGGGCGCCTTTCTTTGGGTCGTTACTTTCTTTCGGTTGGGACCGAAGGAAAGCGGGGGGGGGGCTGCGCAGGTCGAAGCCACCTTCCCTGATGGCACGAAATTGCTCACGGTGCATCAGCCGATCTGTCGGGGATGCCCAGCCCTTCGGCCCTCCAGCCGAACTCGGCCGTTGCTGAGGGATTTTCACCACTTGATGAACCTTCAGCTTCCACATTTGGGCAAAGTGCTTCCACTGTGTGTTCACAGGCTTTTGAGGGGATTTGGTGTATAAATTATATGTCAATGTGTAGATCTATTTTGGGTCATGGTACACCTTTCCTTCTTTCGGGGAGTCCTATCTCATGTTGCGATTCCCCCTACAAACTGCAAGGGCACATCGACTTCTGCGAACTTCGCCCAAAATCCATACCTCTGCTCCACTGGGCTCCGCACCGCGAGGCAATGTGGATGGAGACTTGAGCCTAGCTCTGAAAGGCCCGGACGCTGAGACATGACCTTCGTCCGGCCTTTCGAAACTCCGAGCCGCATTTTTCCGGTTCCAGGTGCTCCAAAGGGAGACGGGCAGAACCTGCCCATGAAATTGAAGCTCGTCGCCACGAAGCGGTAGGTCTCGCACCCTTGGAATCTCCACCGTAGGTTCCACCTGCGTTTCAACGGTGACTTCCCAAAGATCGGGTTCCAACGGTGCTCTGGGCGATGCTTGAGGTTCCTTCTTACCGGAGCCAGACTATGGCCTCTTTGGAGAGCTCGAAGAAGACGAGGTCCGGGGTGAGTGGTCAGTTCTTGGAACTTGGGAAGAGTCTCTAAACAAAACATCTCTAAACCATTGTAGAATGGGCTCGCGCCCTGGTGGTGCCAACCCACCTTGACAGGCACCTGGGAAGGTGACAGCGGCTGAGGCTGGGATGTTCGTCCGCGGGCCTGATGTTCAAAGTGAGAAACTATCAATCATTACTCATTAAGTATATGAGTGAGAGCAGTCTTCTGTGGTTTTGTGAGTCCGCCCGTTTTAGTCCATTTTTTCGTCCCTGCCGTTCACGAACGAACTGGATCAGTTGCCCAAGCAGCTCTCCTCCCTTTTCGCGGAGCCGCACAGGGTGGTGTCGAGCTGAATGCTGGGCGCTCCCTGATCGAATTGGAGGTCACCAACACCGGCGACCGACCCATCCAGGCCCGGGATGCGTTTCTTTTGGGTTTTTGGGAGTGTTCTAGGCCCCAGGAATCGGGAATTGACATGGTCGAGTCGACAATTCTCATTGATTCGATGGTGAGAGAGTTCGTTCTTTCCCTCCGTTGAGAAACACACGTGAACAACGAAGGCCTTTTTGACCTCCGCTCAACCTTTTTCGAACTGTTCAGTTAGCGGTGTTTCATCGTTTTCCCACAACATCTCGCCAGTCTCCTTTCCAGGTTGGCTCTCATTACCATTTCATTGAGACCAACAAGTCTTTGCTGTTTGACCGCGAGAAGGCGGGTCGGTGTTGCGTGCCAGGTTCTTGAGCCTGCAAAAGAACGACCAACCCTCAATAACAATTATTTTTTTAATATGAAAACCAATCATGAATTATTGGATTACCATATTTTTAATAGGCAGGCCACGGCCACGGGCCATGGATATAGCCGTCCGTTCGCTGGTGCACCGGTCGCCAGTCGCCGGTTCGAACGACGTCCGAGGCCTACGGCCGGCGGCTGAACGTGCCCAGCGGCTCGGCGGTGCGCTTCGAGCCGGGAGATTCCAAGGCTCGGTGCTCGGTGCTTCGAGGGAGCTGCGAACCCCCCGAACCAGGTGTAGCTGCGTAGCTTGTGTCCAACGCGGTGGTCGAACGTCTGGAGAGTCTGGAGAGTCTCAGTGAGGGTCGGTGCACTGAGGGTCAGTGAGAGTCTCAGTTCGACCACCTCCTAGGTGGTGTCGCTCGTCGAGATCGCTGGCAAGAAGCGGGTGGCCCGGAACTTGGGGTCAGACTGCGTGGGCCCCGTCCTGTCGGGTTCAAAGAAGAGTTAAGAGCCACTCAGCCGAAGGTCTCGGGCAACCGCCTGGTGGACGGTGTTGCAAGTGGTGGACTTGGGCAAGACGGAAGTTTCTGCGAACTGGGTCAGTGGGCAAATTGCGCATTCTGGCGGAAAGGAAGCGATTGCTTGATGGCACTCGCCATCCAAAAGATTATTTGGAATCATAGCCACTTTAGCCACTTTAGCCTTCATGGTCATTGTCAGTAGGGTGTGAGTTGATGAGACTTCTTGGATCAGCATACTTCAGCCCGCTGTCCTGTCTGGCGCCCAGGCGCAGACCGCTTGCCGGAGGTCATGGCGCGTGTGGAGTCCGGCGGCTTTGGTCATCAGGTGTTGTCCTCGGTTTGGCAGTGCAGGTAGCAGGCAGTGGCAGGCACGATGTGCGGCGAACGACCGGGACATTGGTCGATTTGAGACACTCAGTCGATCTGGAAGGCCAAAAAAGGGGGAACACGTGGTCGCAGTGCCTTGAGGCAGTGTCCGAAGCTCCTGCTGGGCAGCCTTTGGCCGGGAGACATGGAGTGAACAGATGGCGAGGGTTGCCATGGATGTCTGAGCATGTCTTTGGCTAGCCTCAAAGACGATGGCTCCGAGAGAGTCCCAAACGGTGCTTCGAGACTAGCTGGGGTTTGCGGAGAAGATCATCTTTGACTCGTGCGCAGTTCCAGAGAGGTTCAGAGACCTGAGATGGCACCTGCTAGCGGTATAGTAAAAATATGGAATGGACCTTATGGCCTATTGTGGCCTAAATACAACTGAATATAGACCTTATGGCCTAGACATGGCTGGACCTTGTGGCATAGTTATGTGTACGGCCGTCACGTCCACGTCCGAGCCGCGCCGCTCCGAGATCCTGGCGCGTGACCGCTATGCGGAGCTCTTCGGGCCGACTGTGGGAGACAAGGCGGCCTGGTGATGAAAGGATGTGAGGTCTTGTGAGTTGCTGTTTGGACTCAGCTTTGTCTGAAGGACGTAGGGGGGTTCCCCCTGACCACTTGGGACAGCATATTGTGGTGTTGTGAGATTCTTTTTGCATGCTATGTGGATTAAGGTCAGCTTCAGCTACAGAATTCACGAATCAAGCTTCAAAAGTAAAAGCATTCTGAGGAAGAGCGAGTCGACTAGCCTCCCTCGATTTGGCACTTGCGGTCCTCCTCACGCTTCACGCTCCCCTGCAAACCAACACAAACTGGAGTGAATGTATCCAAGATACTAAAAGTTTGAATGGCCAGTGACATTGTAAAGCTCTTTCTAGAACAAGCCCATCAGCCAAGAAACCGATTGTTCCTGTGAGGCCTCGGACACACCAAAGAAGAAATAACACCAACACATCAAGCCAACCAGCAGCCACCGAGCGCCGATGCCATGGACCCTGGCGCCCCTGGCCGCCCTCCTCGGCGCGGCGGGCGCCGCCGCCCCAGATGTGGCGCCCGCCTATGCGCTGCGCGACGGGCGGCGGCTCCCGGCGCTGGGCCTCCGGGCCCCGCCCGCTCTGCTGCGCTGGGCCTTTGGTGGCAGGGTGGCTGCGCGGATGGCTGAGACGGAGCATCGCGCAGTGTCGGAGACGGTGAAGGAGCGGGTATGGTTGTTTGTTGGGGATTGGTGTCGGTTGTCTCTAGAGTCTCCCAAGTTACTTGAGGAAATTGCTAGATGAGGCTTGTCAAGGGTAGAATCGGGCATACATAGAAGTTGTTATCACAAAGGATTGATACTGTTTCACATTTCACTCGTGTCGTCCTGCAGGAGACTGGGCAGAGCCGGAATGAGGTCTTCGTGTCCTCCTGGGTGACGGCGCATGGCTTTGACGAAGCCCATCGTGCGATGCGGAGCAGCTTGAGACAGCTGAGGTTGGATTACGTGGATTTGTTGGTCATGGCCTCTGTTTGGGACGGGAAGCTGATGGAAACCTGGGATGCCATGGTGGAGATGAAGAAGATGGGCTTGGTGAGGTCCTTGGGAATCCGAGATTTTGATGTGCATCATCTGGAAGCCTTTCAATCGCACGGTCGCGATCTGCCCGAAGTCTTACAGCTGGACCTGGATCCCTTCAATCTGCCCGAAAGGCACCCGCGTTGGGACAACGAGTGTTGAAACAAAACACGGTCCAGACCCGAAAAGAGTGAACCCACTCATGGAAAAAACACCACAGATCAGGTCACTGGTTATTTTTGCTGGTTTTGAGGACTTGGACCACCTGCATTGTTCTTCTTTTTGATAGCGGTCAGTCGAGCTCGACCTGCTTTGCCCCTGCTTTGCCAGGCAAGAGCTACTTCAGTGGTGCAAAGCTCGACAGATTCAAATCCAGGCGACGGGATCCCTGTCCAGTTTGGAAGAGGCGACGGTCTCCTTGGCCCCGATGTCTTCTAACAAAAACAAGAGTGTGGCGCAGCTCTTGCTCCGTTGGGGCTTCCAAATGGGCTTTCAGCTCATCCCCAAGAGCAGCAAGAAGGAACATATCGAAGAGAATTTCCAGATCTTCGACTTCGAACTGACAAAGAAGGAGATGACCTTCATCTCTCAGTTAGAAGCCCGTCCTTTGAACCGCTCCCAGCTCGATGTGCCCTTACACCTGGGAGACACCACCCGGAGCTCTGACCCAAAGCGTCGGGCTGAGCGGCTGCTCAGTGCTGAGCTGTAATACGGGCCCAAAGATGGCCTAAGACCTGGGTTGCCAAGGAGGACAAGGAAGTAATAGATGTCCTTTCACTGTTGGTTGATTGATTCGTAGAGGGGATACCCCCCCGGTCGTGTACAACCAAGAGAGTCGGTACCAAATCGACCCTCTCGACTCCTGTTCCCAGTCGTACGGACATCATCGGAAGTCATGCCATGAGTTGGGGATGTTGAACACCTGATTAGTTGGTAGAACCTCCTTACAGCTGTACTTGGCAGAGAACGGTACAAGAGCTGCAGTTTTGGGATGGATGGGTGATTGTGACCCCATGAGATGAAGCATGAATCGCTGCCATGTGCCTGGTGGAGGTGCGGCTGGGAGACACCAATCTGATTGCAGAGGTGGAGAAGGACAGGCTCCGGCTCCAAGCGATGCAAACCTGCGGAGAAGCGTGAAGTCAACGGCCTGAAGGAAAAGAACCAAAGACACATGGCAGCGGCAGCCCCTTCAACAGGTGGAAAGGACTCCCCTGTCTGGCGACTAGATGATAGATGATTCCAGAAAAGCCCACTGGTCTCGACACTTCACAAACTTGGGTGAAAGGCATTTCCTTCATGTCCCCTTCATGCCCCCTTCGGCCAGGACTTCACGGTGTATGGAGAGGAGTGCAAGTTTGGAGGTGCCAGACGAAACCCTCCTGACGTTCCGTTCGTAGGAGCGGCCAGGAGCTACGTTCTTCATCCGCGTCCTTTCTCGCTCCGTTCTTCATCGCCATGCCCGTTCGTAGACAACTCCGTTCGAGCCGCGTCCCTTGTTCCGTTCGAGTCGCCATGCTCTTCGGTGTTCATCCGGATCCCCGAGCCATGGACCGAAAGCGAAACCCGAGTGCGGTCCAGGTGGAAAGGTGCTGCGCGAAGGGATGGGGCAAGCCACTGGTGTGCCAGCGAAGGAGCGGTGTATCGATGAAAGACGCAGCTGAATTGGTGAATTGCTTGGCTTTTTCTTTTCAGCGGGAGTTTTGTGTAAAGCGGGAGTTTTTTATTCAAGAATGCTGAACGTCGATGTATTGTTCATGCAGAACCCTTTTTCTCATGTTTCCAAGACCCTGGCATCCTGCGTTTTGACTCAGCATTTGTAGGATGCCTTGGACGTCGTCATTACCAACGCGCTCATTGTGGATGCGAAGTCCGGGATTGTGCACCTTAGTCTGGACCGAGTTGTGTGGCGAGACGGGACGACCGTGACCAGCCCCCGGGACCACCGTCGACGTGCCGCCATGGTGTTGAGTGGTGAGAATGTGAGAGATCATGTTGAGAGATGCGGGTGGAGAAACTCGAGGGTCGTTTGCTGTTCTGACTTTTGATGGCTTGAAGTTTCTTGGATGGTTTAGACGACCACCCGTGTAGCAGTGTACTAAAAGCTTGGTCTAGCCCCTCTCCACCAAGCAACCGGCTTGATTTTGAGGAAAGCAGTCACTGGGCTGCAATGGGAGGGGGAACGAGTGGGTTGTAGCATGTTGAGGAGTGGTGCAGGTGGATGGGGGAAAACTCCCCACTTAAAGAGGTCTCAGGATTAGATAGAAAAGTTATATATTTATATTTATATATAGTTATTCTCCTGTCGACACACGTTGAACATCGTGTCCATTTGAGGACAGCATCAGCCTATTCTGTTGATGATTTGTAGGTGCTTTATTGGGCGCTGAAAGAATAAGTATAGTAAGTGTTCGTTCTATGCTTTGTCTCAACAGCTGTGTCTCGACAGAGGAAAGGCAGGGGCAGTCAGCAGACCCTGTGCGTATGACTCATGGCCGAGTAAGTCCCCAAAACAGAGGAGTTGGAAGGATGAGTCTGAAATCCGACATGTTGGGGCGATCCTGGCCGAGCTTTCCGAATGGTTTCTATGTCCAACTGAGTGTACTTCTATATTTACGCAACTGCCGATCACCAAGGACATTGGCATCAAGGGGAACCGCATTGTGGGCATTGGAAAGGCACGCCCAAGCTGGGTCACTCATTTCAATCTGGGTGCCCTTTCGATGACAGTTGGTGATCCCAATGTCTAAATCGCACCAGTTCAGACATGTTGCTGATGTCCAGGCTGGCAATCCAGACATCATGGATGGGGTTTCCAAAGGAATGGTGGTGGGAGCCGGAACCTGAATCTGCACCTTTCCAGCTGAATCTGCACCTTTCCAGCTGAATCTGCAGCTTTTTGCGGATCTCTGCTTTGAAGCCTTGGAGCTTGGATCTTCTCACAGTCTGAATTCTCGGCATTTTTCACAGCTGAAGACGAGCTGAAGTGGTGCTTGAAGTTGCGCAGCTGGACGAGCCCTGGCCAGCGTTTCAGGTCACCACCGAAGCCATTGCTGGCGAGGGCATGATTGTGACTGCTGGTGGCCTGGACATGCATGTGCCGGAGCTGAGAAACACGTGTGCCGTGGCCGTCTGTCCGGGGGCCGTCGGGCACTGAACCACCGGGCCGTCGGCGAACGACCCGGTCGCTCTCAGCGACGAGTCGGTCTGACGAAGCGCGGTGTCGAGTCGGGACACGAGGTGCATTGGATTTGCCCGCAGCAAATCGACGACGCGATTGCTTCGGGGCTGACCACCATGTATGGTGGAGGCCGATGAATGGTGGACGGATGACACCTGCGCGATGATTATGTATTCCTTTCTGACACCCGAGGTCTTTAGGAAGGTTTGGCCTCGAAAACTCCGTGTGCGCTGCCGGATGTGTGCGCTGCCGCGGTCGCATGGCAGGCACCGGCCCTGCGACGGGGACGAATGCCACCACCTGCACACCGGCACCCAGCCAGGTGGGGGTCTAGCCATGTGGAGCGATGGCAGCACCTGACTTCACTTAAGTCTCCCAAAGCCTTTTGGAGACCTGTAGAGTCGGGTGCTGGTAGACATCCAACACAGTTGTCGCGCCTTTTGGGGCCTTTACATCAGAATAGAGTTGCTCCATACCAAAGACTTTTCTGAGAGAAGTCCAGTGGTTAACCAGGGTTTAAACCACCCCAAATACCGGTGGGTATTGCACTAAGAGACATGCAATCTTGATTTTGCCATTACTTTTTGTATATTTATCAATTCAGTGTTTAGTACTCGTACTTGAAAACAAGTGGCACGCTTACTAGGTCGCCATGATGCTTCAAGCGACAGACACGCTGGGCGCCCCAGGCTCCTCATTATGATGCACAGTGAACGAAGACGTACATCAATTGAAGCGGCTTTGGGAATAGATTTCCTTGACTGAGGGGAACCCTCCAAAAGTTCCTTCAATGCGGAACAGTCACAGCGAAGCAATCCATTGGCCGGTGGATCTCCCTACAGACTAGAACGCTCACATACACAATTGGTGCGCACCTTGGTGTCGCTGCCCCTTGCAGCACCTTGCGGAACGGCGCTTGCTTCACCGCCTCGGCTCCGCGCGCCTGCCCGCTGCGCGCCTGCCGCTGCGTGGCTGAGGTATCCCTTGAACTTCGGCTTCTCCGGAAAGGGCAACACCTCGGATCCCACGGGGCTCAAAGAAGTGATCAAGGCCGACTCCGGCAGGTGTTCTAAGTGGACGCGACCCGGGGTGGAGGGGTCTGGGAGTTTTGCGAGGCAAAGGAGGTTGTAGTTTAAGCACGTGGGTTGAGGATTTGTCAGATCCATGGAGGGTCTAAGGCTCAGCAACCAAGCAGCCGCGCGCAGCCGTGCGAGCCAACCATTTCCAGGCTGGGGCAGCTGGGCTCAAGCTGCACGAGGCTGGGAGATGGACGGGATGGATGATATAGAGGCAGTTTGTGTAGATGGGACAGTGTTGGATTGAGTGTTTTTCACAGGCAGCATGGCGATTGATGTCGGTTGGTCTACCTGATAAGTCCGCTCATGGAAGCATCGTGATTCCGGGAAGATTCGAAAGAAAAGCAAGACAAAGATCCCCCAACTGACCGTATATATATATAGCGTTTTAGCAGCAGGAATGTGGGAACGATGGAGGAATTGTTTCCTGTTTCTTCCTTTACAAGGAACCCCCCTGTCTGAAGTCGTTCTCCCACCGGTGCCGCTCAGCCGATGTGCCGAGGATTGGGGAACGACCCCGGCGGTGATCGACACGGCACTCACCTTCGCGGACGAGAATGACATTGCCATCACGATCCACACGGACCGCGGTTTCTGAAAAACAAGTTAAGAAACTGGAAAGTGAAGTCGAAGAACATGGGTTTCGTTTTGTTGTGTCTTTTGTTGATTTTAAGAACCTGTATATATCTCGTTGTAGATATTGCACCAAGATGTGGCGCTTCCTAGTGAGCGTAGGCGTGTGGCGTGTGAGCGTCGGCCCCGAGAGACGAAGAAAGTTGAGCACAGAGCCCGGCTTCTTCAGTCGAACTAGCTGACGAGTGGTTTGGAACATGTGGAAGTAGTATAGATTTATGTTGTATAATTTGTCTAGTTTTGCCACAAGCAAATAGGGGCAACACCGGTCGATTTGTCCTTGCAGGATACCATCAACGAATCCGGCTTCGTTGATGACTCCATTGCAGCAATGAAAGGTCTGGGACTGAGACGTGGCCAACCTGTATCCAAGTCCTCAAGTGGATTGGAATCAGAACTGTTCCCAGATGCCCTGTGTTCCACGGTGTCTTTGAGCGTAGGTCGGACCATCCATACCTACCACACGGAGGGTGCTGGTGGTGGGCATGCGCCTGATATCATCAAGGCCACGCTTGTCCCGAAAATGGACGCTGCCATCACTGCCATTTCTCTGTCAGCTCGGGTGTCTTTTTTCGTCCTCAAGCATCCAAACAGCAAGGTCTAGAGCCAGCAATTGATCAGGAATCAAGAGATGGGACAGCGAGATCAGCCACAATTCCTCCTCCCCTTCCCCGACAACACTATATATATATACATGTGGCTGCGACTGCAACCACACTGGTAGCTTCCTTGCCCACCTTCTCCTTTGGGGTTTTCCTTCAAACCAAACACCACAGGTCGGTCCTCCAACCTCCTTCCCTCGCACCTTTTTGGTGCTGCCTTGTCCGGTCCGGTGTCCATGCCTTGAGCCAAACCACAGTGGGTCTGGATGTTTGCCGACATTCGAAGGTACTGCTTCCGAGGTCCGAGGTCGATGCTTTCATTCAAATCACACTGGTTCTATTCTCTTTTTCGAATGTGACTGCTCCGAAAAAGATTCTATCCATCGGCTGCTGAAAGTGCGATTTGGATTTTCTTTCAACGAATTGCTGTCATCATATATTCTGAATTTTCCTAAAGCTAATACTTTCCGAAGGAATGACGAATCCATAGGCTTAGTCAAACAATCTGCAAGCATAATAGCAGTAGAAATCCATCTGCACTCCGTTGTGTTTTCCGACTGTTGTTTGATCAGCATAACCTCTATTGTCGTCCGCCACTCCTGGCAATTTGGTGTTGCCATCTTGCTCACAAGGTCGTACAGACTTTTACAGTCCGTAATCAGGAGGGCCTTTGGCTCCTTTTGCAAGGAAAGCTCAGGCTTCTGCCACTGGAAATTGCCGTCCTTAATGAATGCCCACATACATCTTAGCCACGTGAGCTTGTCCAATGAAGATGACATGGCATAAGCCTCTGCGCTTAGGGTCGAACGGACTACCCGACTGATCTGTTTGGAATGCCATGACACAGGAGAAATTTCTGAGATCTTGTTCTGGGCAAGTTCCTTCGTGCAGGTTGCTATGAACACTCCCTGTTGTGGCTTAAGCTGTGACTCTGAGGCGAAACTAGCATCCCCAAAACTGGCAAAGGTAACCTGCTTCATATCTATCGGTTGCACGATAATTGCGGTGTCTGCATTTTCCTTTGTCTCTTGAAGTATCTTGTTTGCTTCCATTAGGTCTTTGACCCGAGCTTTGCATATGCTCTTTTGCAGGAATGAGACTTTTGCCATCATGTCGGGACGCGAGTGAACCGCCGCATATTGCAGGCTACCACACAAGGCCCTTAGTTGGTGTTGTTCTTGGCTCGTCACTGGCGACTCTGGTTCTTTTCTTCTGATCTTAGCTACATCTATTGGTTCAATCTGGTGCACATAATCTTTTTGCCCTACTTTGATCGAAAAATCTTCTCTCTGTTCAACGGTCAAACCTGTGAATTTGAACTTTCTATACTCACGGTTTCCAAAAGGCAGTTTCCTCTGAAGATTCTCAAGAGCCTTATTAAATCGTGGACCTCCACCCCCAATTCCATCGTCGACGTGTGTTCCTAGGATTCCGTCCAGTTTGGTGGGATCTTCCGGATTTCTGAGGAGAAACAGACAATTGTCTAAAGGGTGAGCTGTGAATCCTTCATGTTCCAAGCACTTCCGAAACTCCTTGTAGAAGAGGAGGGGTGCATCTACCCTACCGTATGCATTGCCTTTCAACAACAACACCTGTTCCTGGCTGAGGCTAAGCATCTCTTGGAACTCCTTAACTGGGTAAATGGCCAATTCACGCTGATCCGATCGACCACGCAGAAATGCGGTTTTAATGTCGAATGATTGGATGTCCCAATGTTTTGAGCTAACTGTCTGTAATATCATCATCCGTCCGTCCCTTGACAAAGTCGGACTCTCTGTCGAGACTATCCCAACTTCGGGGTCTTGGAAACCTCTAATGACCAAACGAGCCTTGGGCTTGCGGCCTGTCGATGACGTCTGATCTTCCTTCCAAGTGAGAACCCATTTGGAAGACATTATCCTGGATGGGTGGATTTTATGCCTCAGGATTGGTTCAACTGTACTTGTCTCAATCCAACATTTCAGCTCTTTACGCTTGGCTTCATCGAACTGCTTCCTTTCTGATTCCGTGAGGTTTCGATAATTCACCTCGGTATGGCTTTTCTTTGCGGCTCTGTTCATGGCTTCGGCATGTAAACATGGGTTCTTACAAAACTTCTCCAACATTTTCATCGGAACAACGAATTCGAAACTGCAAAAGTGGGCTTCAGCTATTTCGGATGATTCCATACTCCATAGAGTCCCCTTATCATCCACCCCTTGCTGCTGTCCATCTATTGCTTCTACTATACATGCATTGACCACCATTGAATCCCCGAATGATTCTGATGGATTTACCGGATGATCATTATCTAGACCGGAGGCTTCTTCTGGGTTTGAAGGCTCTCGAAGTTCATCTTCTGCATTTGGATCAATCACTGGGATCTGACTTGCATCAAGTCCAGGCGGATGACCCGGTAGGGATTCTGTTCGAGAAACCCGGCGTAGAGGCTCTTCCTCTGGCTGATTCGACCTGGGCATTGGTTCTGGCCTCGACTCTGCAATTGATGGCTCATAGTCGGTGTCGATGAGTTCAGAGAATTGAAACATTCCACTTCGGTCTTTCAAATCCTTTTTGAGTTTCTCTGCCATCTCTTGCAAACGATGCGTGTCCCCGGTCTGACTGAAACCGTGATGACTTTGGAACTCACGCAGGGACACAGACCGCATGTTCTCTCTTGCTACCCTCAACAGCCTATTCAGGTGTGTTACCCATACTATGGTACGCGATTCATGCATGATGACTTGACAGGGACCTACCCATCTGCCTTTTTCGAGCATATTTGGAGCCTTTCGTTTATCCCATACCATGCATAGTTCACCACATTTCCAGTCATGTTCCCTTCCCCGGGATTGTCTTAACATGGCTCTTCGGATTGACTGGCTATTGTCTGCATCGATGAGGGCTTTCCTGGCTTCGGTTCGAACCTGCATCTTTTTCTGAAACACATCGGCTTGTGGATCTTCACTATCTGCGAGAGAGTGTGCCGTTGTGTCCTCGTCGCTGCAAATGGATCCAGGAAGTCGTCTTGATCTTCCCAGAACGGCCTGCTCTGGACTGAACCCCTTTGCAACGCTCATACTGTTCTTAGCTTGGAAGCATTGGGACAGTGCATAATCGAAATCTTTGTCGCTTCGAATCGGCACATGATTGTCTACCCTACTCAGCATTTCTTTTATAATGCCCCCATGCCTTTCTATTCGTCCTCTCTGCCAGGGTGCTGCGGAGGTCTGCGTTTGAATGCCGTTTTGCTGCAACATGTTTTTCCACTGTTGGCTTACGAACTCTCCTGCTAAATCATGATGGATTATTTGAGGGGGTCCGGCCCAGTGAATCCAGGTTTCATTGACTACTTTCTCAGCTTCTTCTGTTCCTCTCTTACACCTTCTCCCCAAATGAAAGTGGGTGGCTTCATCAAAGATGTGAATGACATAATACTTCTTCCCGTGGCTATCTTTCCACTCGAATCCGTCTAATGCAATCACTTCGTTGAAGTCCTTTGGTTCTTTCAACTTACCGGGAGAGTGAAGTTTCGGTGGAACCCTTTCCGAACAAGACTGACAAAGATAGTCACCGGCACCCTCGATCAATTCTTGTGAAAATTTCAATCTCTTCAGGTGGCTGGCTAACTTCTCAGCTGTCGGATGACCTAGATTATTATGGATTCGCTGAATTAGAGACCTTTGGAAGCTATCCAGGCTGTGGAACTTCGGACCCGAATTGTTTGAGGATTGAGGAGACCATGCAGGAATCATTACTTTTGATGGATCTTCTTTTCCTGTGTCTTCTCGAATTTCCACAGCATACGGCTTGGCTGGTTCTCCGACCTCTGCTTCGTTCGGCTCTGGCTGTTCGTGCGAACCTTCAGCATCTGCAATCTGTGGGTCAGGATCACTTTGTCTCTGGGATGCTTCTGCTCTGCTTTCTTCGCTAATTGAATCTACCCCAAACACACAAACCATGATGTGACTTGGCATGGCTATCCTACGCTGTTGCCTGAGGGTCAACCGTGTCCAGTTCTCTTCACCTAGATCAACAATCTGCTTGGTTTTGCGGCACTGGCATATGGTTCTTCGGATTTCATGGGTGGTTTCTCCTATGAGATACTTATCCATGCCTTTTCCTGCGAGAATCTTTCGAACCTGGAATTCACATTGTTCGACAATGAAGTTTCCTGGCCACGTTCCTGTTGAGACCTCGATGGACCCTGACTTTGGCAGATTCTTCTGGAACCAATCGAAGGCTTCGATCCAAGTCTCATCAGCTAGGACTTTCCTTGCTGAGTCCTCGGATACTTCTTTTCTCTTCGATTCACGTGGTGGCTCAAAACGTGCGCGCTTCGCAGGTGGATGCTCTTCATCAACAGGAAACAAATTCTCCCAATCTTCTTCAAAGACAACTGGAATTCTTGCTGGTTGAACCTCCTGCAAAATGCTCCGGGCTGCGGCTCTTGCAAAAACTCTGGGATAAAATGCTGCATATCGAGACAATGCCATTCTTTCTCCTAAATGGTTGCACGAACCCGCAATCTGAGCATGTTCATGGTTTTTCTTGCAATACCGTCCATCAAGGTCCTTGACTATTTGGTCTGAGGTGGTTTGCAAACGAGTATGCTTCTTTAGGGGTCTGTCGTCTTCGGGATGAATAAGCCCAAACCTGCATTGATCTAACTGAACTGTCTTCGTCAGTGCTAGTAGTGGCTCAAGTTCAGGTTGTTTCCATATATCGGATGTTCCTGGGTTCTCGGCTGTGAAATGTCTTTGTTGTTGTACCTGAATCTTGCAGATGAGTGTGCACAGTTCCAAATGCTGTTTGGACAACTCACGATTCCTTTGAATCTTCTCGAACAAGGACGTGCTTCTTCCGGCATTGAAACGATTCCATGCGCACCATGGAAAGCATTCTGGAGCTACCCAGATGTGTTTCGGACGCAACCTAAAGATCATTCTGATCAGCTGCAACTGGCCCTGAAAGGTTGCAAGGTCTCCATGCTCCTTGGTGAACCGTTCTGATCTACCCCCTTGTTTGCGAACCTCTTCTGCTAAACGGCTGTTTGGTTGTGCATACACCTCAAGCAAATCAATGGGCTTCCCAAATGCTTTTCCTATTTCTGCTGACTTCGCTGCTTGAATGAGCTTGGCTTCGAAGGCTGTTTCAACGATTATTTGACTATCTGATATCAGGGCTTCCCAACTCCCTTCCTTACCTAGATCAACCCCTGGCTCTGGTGCAGCTGCTGCTCCATCTGTTGCCGTGTTTGGCAGTAACGAGCGAAGTCGCCGATCTGAGCGTCCAGTGAATTGATGCGGCTTAAACACCAACTCACATACTGGCTGTCTTGTTCGTAGACTGCCTGGTATGTTTTCCCAGGGTGTTTCTTTCCCCAGGTCACACGCTTCATTCCCCACTGCTCCATTGCCGTGGTTGTCCAAGCGAGGCTCTGGTTGAGCTGACTGCCCATTGGCTCGGCTCCACTTGATGGGCTCCCATGAGGTAGCGTCTCTGGGGCGGTCCTCTCCAGCATGGTCGCCGTTCCAACCACACGACCTTTTGTCTGAGGGGCAAGGAAGCTTCCTTTCCCGGCTGCCGTCGATCGTCCTCGAGTTGGTGGAGATGTCATTGGTGTCGTTGACACGCCATGAGTCACTGGTGATGCCTTTGCTGCTTGTGGTTGTTGATAGACTCGGACCTCCTGGTCCCACACTTCCAGATCGCTCTCTGTCAGCAGGGTGAATGCCTCGTCCCGACGACTTGGCGACAGTGCTTGATTCTTCATCAGGTCGGCCAGCTCCTCGATTTTCTCCTTCTGAGACTGAACTTCGTTCATGAGCTGGTTCATCATGGTGGCTTGTTCCATTGGAACTTCCTGACTCGAGACCTGAGTGGCCACTTGATTCAAAAGAATCATGAGCAGAGTCTGGAGTGAATGCACCACGTTCTCGGCCATGTTCTTCACCATTTGCAGCATTTCTCCACGTGTCGGCATCTTGCTCGAAGATCTGCGAATTTGCTTTCGAATCACTGCTTGCGCCAAAAATGCTTTGGCACTCGCTTGATTGGCAAAGGTCCTGAATCCTAATCATCAACAGACCTGTCTTGCCTTCGAACAAGTGAACTGCTTTGTTTAGGCTCTTCAAGAAACATGAATTGCTCTGCAGGTCAATCACTGTTCCTAAGCGTTTCATCGTTTGTATCGAAAGCAAAAACGGCGTTCCGCGTGGTACCACTTCGACGATCAACCACATCCGAATCTTACCATGATCTATGGGGATATGGACTTGCTTGTAGCTATATTCTATTTGGTTGTTACCGAAACGAAAGGCGATTCTGCTGGCTTTCTCTTTTACACGGCTCCGGACTGGCTCAGGGAGTTGACTCATGAGCTTTGGGAGATGCAACTCTCCAATGACACTTCGGCTGGCTCCTGTATCTAAAATGGCCATGCCATTGGTTTCAAACCCTGTGGATTGACAGGGATCATTGATACGTCTTCTTTCTGGCGTCCCGGCTGGACGGCTCTGCTTGGACGGTGTCGACGTCCTGTCAACGGAGAACGCACTCGGTTTCCTATGCAAAAAGAAGGCTTTGGTTTTATCTATGATGGCTTCAGAAAAGTTTACCTCGGCCGAAAGCTCTTGCATTGGAGGCTGGTTGATCGAACATGCACTGAACTCTTTCGGATTGGTTTTGGTTTTGTCTGTTTCGTTTCGACGAAACCCAACCTCTGGATCGGAGGCAATTGCTTCAAAAAGAACTTGGTCTGAAAGATCTGGATCAAGGGCTTCCTGGGCTGAGGCCACATTGGCCTGTGATTCCTTGGCTTGACTCTTCAGCGGACACTCTGCTTTCCAATGTCCAAGTTCTCCGCATCGTTTGCAGTGTGTCCTTGCTATGCGAGCCAACAATTCGTCTTTGCCCTTTGATTGGCCTTTTCGAAAGCCTTTCGAACCCGTTGCACTGAAGCCTTTGCCTGATTTTCCACCCGAGGTGCTCCTCACTGGCCAGAATCCGCGGTTTCTCTTTCGATCTGTGATCCGGCCTCTTGCTTCCTGGTAGCTCAGCAGTGCCGAGTGCAAATCCGGCACCTCTTGGAAGAGATCTGTAAGCTCTCTTTCGAAGGCTTGGACTGTCATTGCATCAGCATCTCCAGCTAAAACCATCTGTTCCAGGGTTTCCTGACTGAGATCTTCTTCTTCCGCTTGCATTGCCAGGGCACTTTGGTCAGCAAAATGCTGTTCATTCTCAATGTCCTGACCGTCATCGACATAGTTGGTCGGGTAGACCTTTTTCTTCTCCATTCCCGATCCTGACAGCACTGACGTTGAGAGGCTTCTCATTGCATTGGCAATCGAATCCTTGTCAAAATTTCCTCCAGTCATTGTCAAAATCTTCTTCTTGTCCTCGTGGTTCAAGCTGCTTTGTTTCAACAGTACAAATGCCACCACTGTCTTCAATGTTGTATCGGCTCCGACCTCTTCAAAAGCAACATCCAACCGATTCACAAATGACTGGGTCGACTCGTCGCTCTTCTGGATGGTCTTGTACAATGCTTTCTCAAACAACTCGAACGTGCGGAGCTCCGCACTTTCTTCCCAGGCGGACAGCGCCTTCAACAGGTGTTTCACCCCATGATCAGCACTCGTGAGATCTTCCGGTTTGATCTGTCTCACTTGATGCCACGCCGTCCCCTTGCATAGCATAGCGAGTCTTGGTGCCAGCATGGGCTTGTCCTTCTTCGGGCATATGCCCTCAAGGAATCTCACCTTGGCGATGTACTCCTTCACCTCATCAACGCTGGGGTCAAAAGACGGCAGCAGAGTCCAAATCGCATTCGACGATTTATCGTCGCTTCCCGATGCCATGGCTTCCTAGTGTCCTCACCAGGCCCTTTTGGGCTCCGCTACCAATGTGGCTGCGACTGCAACCACACTGGTAGCTTCCTTGCCCACCTTCTCCTTTGGGGTTTTCCTTCAAACCAAACACCACAGGTCGGTCCTCCAACCTCCTTCCCTCGCACCTTTTTGGTGCTGCCTTGTCCGGTCCGGTGTCCATGCCTTGAGCCAAACCACAGTGGGTCTGGATGTTTGCCGACATTCGAAGGTACTGCTTCCGAGGTCCGAGGTCGATGCTTTCATTCAAATCACATATACACAGTATATATACAATTTGACTTTTTGAGTCTTGGACTCTAGGACTCACAACTACCACAGAGACAAGTGACCCCGAATCTTGAGGCCTTCCTCAGCTCTTTGTTTCAGCTCGTTTCTCGTCTTCCCAACGTGCTTTGTCTCCTCCTCGCAGGTCTGTGGCCTTCCCAACGTGTTGCCGTCCTCCACGAATCCGACACGACCCTTCACCACCAACACCATGGAGGTGCGACGTGACGGACGAGTCGACGTGCGGTTTCGGGTTGACGGGTTCGGGACGGAGGGTCGGACGGAAGAGATGAGGATGAGGTTGGGCATGCGGAGTGGATGATTCTCATGAAACATGTTTCGTACTGACATTATACTGTATATCATAAAGACATGATGAAGACTTCGGGATGGCTACTCTGTCTTGTTTCGAAAGCTTGCCAGTGGGTGACATTCACTGGAGCCTGCCCTGTTGCTGGAAACATGAATCATCCTAGCTGTTAAACCCAACACACAGTGCGCTGAATCTCTCTTGCTTTTGGCTGTCAGGAGCATCTGGATATGCTGATGGTTTGCCCATCTCCTAGCACCAGAAGTATGGATTCTGTGAGCCCAAAACGGATTCTGTGAGGTTTTTCTTGATCGTTTTCAAGTCGAAAGCCAAGATTCATCCCCTTCCAGGAGTTGATTGGGACTCCATTTCTTCAGATTGTTTTGATTGCTTCAGATTCTTGATTGGGACTCCAGGAGTTGATTGGTCAGTCGTCCTAATGGCAGCTGGTTGGCCGTGAGGTCACCACCTTAACAAGAACATCCCCGAGGTGCCACCTTCAGCCGCGTCAAGTGCTTCTGGAGATATCAAACATGCATTCTTCACATGCAAACGAACGAGCCACTGGTGGATTTTTTCTGATTTTTTTGGGGGGGTGGGAATGTGCCCTGGACAGAGGACGGCCGCATGGATGGATGGACAGATTTGATGTTCACCTGGAAGACAAGGATGCACCGTGCAGTGTGGATGAGCGTTCTATTGTTGTGACCAATAGAAACTGTTCACGATCTCCCTGAAACTGTTCACTTCGATGGTCGCTTCCACTCGTCGGCCACCGACGAGTGGAGAGTCGGATCGCTCGGGCGCCCAGGATGTGGCCTTTGCGGAGAGTCGGATCCGCGGGGAGACGATCGCTGCAGAGGAGACGAGAGCATGGGAGCTTGTGGGTGCTTGTGGGTGCCATGTGAGTGCCAAGAGAGAAGGCGACCAATGCCAGATATTCCAGCTTTTCAGCGCTTTTTTTTCTTAGACTCAACAGTGGCAGCTATTGCATGACACTTTAGCAATGTATTTCAAGAATAGGTGCCAATGTTTCCCTTATTGGGGTATCTCGATCTTGGTTCAGTGTTTGGCTTTTTCCATTTGTTTCTGTGCTGCCAACGTGTGTGCAGGACATCTTACATGACATGGGAACTCCTGGCTTGCTTGAGAGAGGGGTGCCTCCCTTATTTTGCAGTGACAACGGTGCCCATCACTTCGGGCTTTGATGGGGACTTCCACATCGCCATCATGGGGAAATGGATCAACGCAAAATCCAATTCGCGCCTTCGTGAGAAAGCCATTTTGAACTCAACATCTGCAGTGGCAGGTGCTTGGGGAGCCACATCGGTGGGCACACAGGGCACTGTCTCTCCACGAAACGACTGTGCCTGGCCTCCGATTTCGATGACAGGCGCGATTTCAATCATCTCCTCCGACTCCCAGGTGCGGAGGAATCGCATGGCATGGGGTGAGGAATGACAAGCGAGCTTCACCCAGGATTTGGAAATCCCAAGTTTCCACCTCTTGCAACTCAAGTGGTTTTGCTTTGTTGCCGGGGGTGCCAGACTTGAAACTTGAGGACGGCCGGAGTGGGTCGAGAGCTTGGGGATGGTTCGATCACTGATCTGCAGCAGATTTCTCAAGGAGGGCGATTTTCATCCTCCAAGGTCAAGTGAAAGATCCATAGATGTCATTGGATGGAGCAACACTCCCTCAGATCCCCAGAACATCCGAACATCCTCAAGAGATTGAACTTTTGAGCCATTTCACAGATGTGCCCAACCTCCAGGTGTTGCCTCTTGAGACACATCACATCTATATCCCCCAAAACACGGCGAAGCCGCCGTCGCAGCTCGGATCCGCGATTCATCTGCGGTGGATGTCTCAAGGGAAGCGCCGACCGGCGAGCCAAAAGTTGGATCATTTGACCGGTGCCTGTGCTGCAGATCCGACCTGCGACCGGTTCTGGGCGTGAAAGCAGCGGTTCCGTGCCCGGAGGCGAAAGTCCATGAAACATGGAATTTCTCCGAAAAATGCCGGAAGTCTTGAGGGGTCCGTTGGCAGCTTTGGGTTTCCTTTTAACAGGAAGAACACTGGAGCTACACCATAGAGTCATTCATTCCCCGAGAACTCCGACACGTTCACACCCTCTGGGGGAGTCCCGGTACTCCCGGTGCAGTGCCGCCTGAGGGGCCCGGTTCTTGGCCTCGCTGTGGATCGTGTGCGGGCACTTCGCGCCGCGTTTGGAGGAGACGGCCTTTACTGTGGCGAGACATCGAGGTGGGTGGGTGGGGTTGGGTGGGGTTGGGTGGGATGGGTGGGATGGGTGAGTTTTCATGGGGAAGAGGTGGAACCGGTTGGAGAGGGTGGATGGGTTGTGAGCTGGGGAGAGGTGGATGCTGTTGCTTGGACTCAAAGCGCTTGGCTCCAGGCAATGCAGCTGTGAACTTCTTCATCATCATGAGTGGTTTCGTGACGCACTGGGCCTATGCGCAGCGTCTGAGCTCTTGCAATCGAGATGAGCTGGTCCGCTTCTTGGTGCGCAGGCTGGTCCGCTGCCTGGCGCAGTCGGCAATTCATTTGTTGAGTTGGGTGTGTATTTTAGCTTCGATGGCCTCCCATTTCAATTCCAACTTTCCCAACAAAGATGAGGACGCACCAAAAATTCCGACCGCCCCAAGCTGTGTTGATTCCCACCTTGGAATGCAGGGCGAAAAAAGCCGTTTTTTTCTGGTGCCCAATCTATCCAAATTAGATGGTCGGACCAAACGAGCTTCTGTGCCTGAGAGGATGGGTCGAGTGGTTTTGACCACCTGGTTCGCCATGCTCTTGGGCCTGGGCGTCTTGCTGGTTCAGCTGCGAGGCCATACCCCCGCACCTGGGCAAGAGGGGACGTGGAAAACACGGCGACAGGGTGAAGCCCAGAGAAAGCTCTGCTGGAAATCACGGGGCATAGAGCCTGACATGGCCTGCTGTTTCAAGAGAAGAGGGTGGCTTGACCTGACACTTTCTTCACCCGACCGGAGTCTGCGGTCTTACCGCCGACTTCCGTGAAGCCACAGTGGGTTCCCTCCTCGGCTGAGGATCTGGGCCACGTGCTGCGGTGCTTTCTCTTCGTGGAAACCTGGCGCGATCCACTGGACTGGTGTCCCAATGGGCAGACCTGGAGCGCCACCGGCCGAAGGGATTTTGGGGGGGCCTCCGCTCTCAGGAACGCTCGTGGTGAGAGTAGTAGTCGTAGTCAGCGGCATCAAATGAAGTCAGACCAAATGACGTTCGCTTTGAGCGCTGGTTGACCTCCCAGCGATTCTTCAGAGGACCGTGGCAGCACTTCTCCCAAGCTGGCTGCTCTACCCTGTGACGCTGCAGGTGATCTTAGCTCTACGCGACACAGGCCAAACCCTGCAGGGAGTGCTGTTTTGCAAATGAACACCCGTAGACCTGTCAAAGGACCTCCCCTCCAGTCAGCTCAAAGAACTGGTGCTTTTGTTTTAGAGACGCTTCGGTCCATCAGCCGCAGGACGCGGAGCACTGGCGCTTGGTGCCATGATCCTGGTGCTTTTTTCAGTAGGGCCTTTGATCTGGGCCTACTGCCAGCAAGGGCACCCTGGTGGCACAGGTCTTAGTGGGGGAAGGACATTTAGCCTTTCTTATTCAGATCTCCATCGGTGAATCTAGCACTGTTGAGATTTGAAGGATGTGCTCAAATTCGCTGCTACTTCTTCATCTTCATATTCATGTCTTATCATTCGTTGGTTTTTTCAGGCGGAACAGATGAAAGCCCCGACCAACTCCACCAACTCCACAGCCACTTAGGTTTTGGCTCAGCAACGAGCAGGGCATTTGGAGCTTCTTGGTGCGTTGGGCTGGATGAATTAGAATCGGAGGTTCTATTGTACGAGAGGAGAGCTTTCCTAGAACATGGCCGCCATATCGCCTTGTTACTTGTTTGTGTTGTGTAGATCTGGTTCAACATGGTTCAGATATTTTCACACATGTTCACACATCGCGACTCATGTGCACTATAGCTTGGTTTGGAGCCATGATCTGTGTTGTTGCATTTAGTTGGATGGTTTGCCCCAAGTTACAGATACCGTGCTCTTTGACCTCCTGTCTTCATGAGAACACATCGGGATGCCGGTTGCGGCGGCTCAAGCCGCTCGGTCGTTCCCTCGCCCTCTCGACCGTCGCCACCGACCGACGAGAGGCTACATCTGGCCGCCTTCGCAAGTCCCCGACTTTGCGCTGGGCGCGGTGGCTGCGGAGATGGCGCGCACAGGCCGGGCCGGTGGGTTGCGGAGATGGCGCTCTTTGTTTTATTCCCCAAACAGTTTACTGTTAGAGGTTCTCAATTCTTTGTCTCCCAGCTCTGGACGTCGCAAACTCTAGTTGCAGAGTGTTCCGATTTTGAAAAACACAAACTGTTTGGGGTCTCCGGTGGTGTAATTTTTTGTGGTGGATGGAAGAGTGGAAGGAGTTGTCTGGTGTGACGGGATGATGGGATTTCATGTGGCTCTGTCTTGTTGGCTGAATTTAGTCTAGCAATCTTTTCAGGAATGAGGTTAGAATGTCTACTGGTCCCGCTTAGTTCCTACTACAGTTGCTAGTATGCCATGCTTGTCAAATTGGATTCGGTTCGGCATCAAGACAACAACTTACCGGCATTCCTCGCACAAGTGGTGTGCCCGTCGGTTCAAAAAGCACTCGAAACCATGTGCTACATTGTGCATTTGTCTACTGTTTTGTTCACTTTCAAGTGTACACCAGGGTGATGAATCACCATACTGTTTAGTGTGAAGTGTACACTTTGTAGTTCCCATGCCTACTGTTTTGGTCCACACCTATATGTCCGACATGTCTACATGGGGACTGACTTTGGGATCTACGCCTGGGTCCAAACATCATTTTCACCGCGGAGGCAGCGGCTCGGGCCTCTTGGCCGATGCTTGTATGCTACTGGTGGCGCTCTGCTGCTTCTTGATCCCCTCCTCTGGAGCCCGGGAGGCGTGGTTTCAGTCCTCAGCCACAGCTGCTACACGCTAGCAGTTTCTGAGGTTAGGATGGCGTGGTGTCCGAAACTACTATATAGTTATATAACTCCATGCCAGCTTGCCATCAGCGGTGACTACAACTCTTAAAAGCATGTGTTGGTGGAGCGAGCGATTCTTCTTCCATCTTGGAAGATCAAGATCCCTAACCATGCCAAACCCTCCAAGACCTCATTATCCGACCTTCCCGTTTCGGACCTTCGGAGGGCTGGGAGCCCTTCTTTGGCCATGCGCTGTCGCCCCTCTTCGCTGGTTTCCTCATTTGCTCCTCTGCGAAGACCTCCACCGGATCGATGGGGGGCGAGGCCGGATCGGTGGCGCGGCTGCTGAAGCATGAGGCCTTGGTGGCGCTGGGGGAGTTCAGCTTTGAGGCGTGACATGAGGCTTTTCATGGTTGCGAAAGAGGTAGGTCAAGGCGTGGTGGAGAGGAAGCAAAGAAGGACGGATATCTCGCTGTTCCATGGTGCATTTGGGTTTCGACAAGCCCATGGACAGTGTCGGGAGCCCTGCAGGTCTATCTCTTCCAATATCCAATCCATGAGCTTTTTGTGGCAGCTGGTGACATTTCTGGCGCCTTCAGCATGAGGAACAGCAGTGGTGCCTACAACAACAATTCGTGGCCCGACGTTGGTGAACACAGTGGGTTCAATGGCCGAAGACCACCATGTCTTTTTGTGAGTCTTGTTCTTTCAATTTGAGTCTAGGGGGGTCCATCAGTTGGACTTCCACCAAAGGGCAGAGGCTTGGGGGAGCCCCCACTCACCTGGTCTTTTGCTTAGCACCGACTCGATCTGGGCTCTCCATGTGCGTAGCGCTTTGCGCTTTGCTCAGCGCTTGGCCTGGCCTCAGGTGTGGCTTCGTGGTCTTCGTCTTTTGGCTTTGGCTCTTGGCTGGGCTCTACTGCCGTTTTATCGAAGCACGCCTGGTGGAGTGGCTCCGGCAGATCACGGAGAGCCCCAAAGCGAGCCATCCCTACGAGGAGATGGAGCTGTGGCTTGGCCCCAAAAAGAGTGGGGTCAATGGGTACACTGAAACAAGGATCATGCAAAAGCATGGATGAAAGGCATCGCTTTGATTTACAAGTACTATATATAGTTGTTCTAGCAGGTAAGCAATCTTAGGCTTCCCACAACCTCCAGTATGAACTTTTTGAGGTGCGAGTCTGAGACGCTTCCGCTACAAGAAGCTGGTAACTCGGCTTCAGCTTGCCCACTCCCTTGTTGTTTTCAGTGCTCATGAGATGCCAGGCTGAGGCATATCCCACAAATTGAAGGATGCCATGAAGGTTTTCCATTTCTTTCCTCCAATGCCACATGCTCAGCAACAAGGGACTTTGGTCTCCCTCATGTATGAAAGGGAGAAAAGGCCGCCTTGGTCAAGGTGAGAGGGCCCTCTGACGCTACTCCTTGACCCAGGCGTCGTGCCGCCGCTGTGAGCCGCTGTGCACCGACTCAGCCACGTGGTCGACACCGACTCCGCCGGGCGCGGCCGAAGCGGCTGCGCGGCCGTCCTCCCGTCTTCGCGGACACCGAGCCGACGGTGCGACCGGAGCGATCGACGAGACGAGGAGAGAGCACCGGAGACGAAAAGGACCGGATGAGAGGGCGAGGAGATGTGGCAACAGCGCGTGGAAAAGAACAGCGGCCGCCAACGCACGAGTTGTTTTCTGAATACCTGAGCTGCCACAAGAGTTGGTCTCAAACTGACCCACCAATCCAGGCAATGCAACAATGCAAGCTGCTCTAGGCTTTGTCAAGGAGCACAATTTTGGTCAGAGACATGGGAGATGGTACTGCTGTCCAAAGCCGGATCATGCAGGTTCTTGTAAATAAGAGGTAGCCCTTTCAAGAACCACAAGCCTCGCTGGCCCCAGTGGTGCTTTTCTCGGATCCATGTCAAGTCTCCATGCCTGTCTCCCCATGTCCATTCTCGGTTGACCGAGTCATGTCAGTCGTCATGTCTCATGCGAGTCAAGTAAAGTCGTTGACGGATCCCGACGAGGCCGTCGGCCGTCGGCTTCCCTTGGATCCCTGGATGGCATGAAGTCTTTCGGCTGGACTCCTTTGGATGGCGTCTGAATTTGGGTGACTCTTCTGAGTCGGACATCGCGTTAGACTCGACTTCAGCTACAGATTCTTGACCCTAGGATATCCCGCAGAAAGCTTTCTTAAGTCCTCAAACTAGAGCAAGTTGGAGGATGTGTGTCAACAGACACCACCAAGTCAGAGGACTCAAGTCTAAGCCCCCGTGTTCCAAGAACCATCCAGAACCTGGTTTCGGATGGATGTGTGAGAATGATGGATAGTAAGGCCAGGAGCCCCCGTTCGTAGCCTCAGTGGGGGGGTGGAGAGGTCCAGTTCTCTTCTTTTCTCTGCCAGGCCATGGGCCGTGTGGGTGAGGTGATTTGTCGCACCTGGCAGACAGCGGCCAAGCCCCACGGCGTCAACAGGGTCTGCCGTCAAACACGGGGTGGATCAAAACGTTTTCCCAGGCAGCATAGGTGGTGCATGATCTAGCATAGATCTCGGAATTGTACAAGCTAAGAGATCCCATTAGACATAGTCTGAGATTGCGATTTTGGCAGAGGTTGGGTCTGAGGTTCGTGAAGCGGGAATCTTTCCTCATCAGATCACCAATGCTTCGGATAAGAGGTGATGAATGCAAGCCGTGAGGCGGACAAACTCGGGATGTGCTTGCTTACGATCTCTAAGTTGGGTGGGAAGCATCACATCTGAACCTGTTTCTTCCAAAAGACTCGGTGGCTCAGCTTCCACAGCGCCATTGGACTCCCGAGGATGAAGCTGCAACGTGGGCCTCTACCCGAAGACACGGCCAATGACAACACGCGCATCAAGAGGTGCGTGGAAGATGAACACGGAACCTGAAAACCACTGGTTTGTGGAGGAAGCTAGATTTTCGTGTTCCATGTTAATCTTCCAGGGTGTAGATGCTGGCCATACTTGGCGAAGACCCAAAGACAGTGAACCCCTCAACTCTGATGGGGGATACAGATACAGAATGATATGGGCGAATTTTGGATGAAATCCACAACACTCCCATGAGCAGATCAGATGTAGTCAAGTGGAGACCGGTGATTCCATGGGAAGACGGTTTTCCTATGACTCTACAAATACTTCTTTGCTCATGTTCGTGGACCGTGGGTGTAAGGGTCGAGATGAGAGCCAGAATAGGGCAGGCTAGATGAAACAAATGACGACCCGGTCGTTGGTGTTCTTCCTCCGATCCGATCAGATACATCGCGAAGTACACGATCAACCCGGCCCTGGCCCATGGCATGGCACATGCCATTGGCAGCCTGGAGGCGGGGAGTAGCAACTCACAGGACCGAACACACATTCCAAGCCAATCTTCCTTTTGATACCTGGATAATTCGAAACCGCACAAATATATACTTGCCATTTTTTTGGAACATAAGAAGCACACACACATATATATATATATGTGATGCCTTTACGGTGTTTTCCCAAAGATCCTTTGCTGTGACATGGCAGAGAACTAGGTAAACAAACGGCATTTGTTGGAGTCAAAACGGCGTCGTTCCCTGTCCCTAGATTCTTAGCACATGTTGGCCGCCTTTGAAACGGCATGTTTCGGGTCTTTTTGCTGAAAAATCCCTCAAACAAAGATCCAAGTATGTCCTGGTTCTTTCTCCTAGTGGTCCGGTCTGTGGTGGACTTGTATCTAGAACTCACTGGTCTATTCACTTCACCAGGTGGGGAAGCTGGCAGATATTTGTCTCTGGCAGCCAGCTTTCTTTGGATCCAAGCCAGAGATGGCCACTTCGGTGCAGAAAGAATGTGACATGCTCGGCGTTTTTCACATGCGGGATTCCAATGGGGACACCCAGTGATCCCAACCCAAGAGAAGGATTCAGATGCAAGTAAGTACATGACTTTCGAGAGAGAGGTGTGGTGATATCGGCCCTGTTGGAGTCCTGGCAAATATCAGACCACTTTCTTCTGTAAATTCAAGCACTTGTGCTTCCCACAGATTTCGCAGAAAGACATCGGAGAAAATAGCGCCCAAAAACCACCCGCCCAAACCGATCGGGTCAGCTGTGCTAGTGCGAGCTGAGGTCATTAAGGGAGGGACCATCGCTTGGGCTCAGATGGGAGATCCCAATGCATCGATCCCCACGTCCGAAGCCCCGGTGGATGCAAAAGGTGGACATGGCTTCGAAAACAGGGCCGCCAGGGCCTCATGCTTGTGGACGACATTGATAAGTTTACTGTAGCAGCCTAGCATTTGGAATCACCACCCAGCCAAAGACGCCACTAGCAGGGACACCATTCCTGAGACCCAGAGAAGGGACAGCTAGAACTTTGTCATTCAGAGACACCACAGCCTTAGCCTGCAGAATGTAGCCAAAGCAGTCGAACATCGTGGGGATTTGGCGAGAGTGCAACCGACGCACACACACAAACAAACACACATACACCACACACTCACGCACAGATACACCACACACTCGCACACAGACCTCAGCTCTTGCTCTCGTATGGCCGGGCCGAGGCCACAGCCCGTGCTCATGCGACCCATGTTCGGCAGCTTTGGAAAGGCCGTTGGTGAGGGCGCTTAGTAGACTTGGTGAGTCCCTCCCAGAGGCATGGCAGGCATGGTTGATGAAGGGATGGCATGGAGGCAGTCTGAGAGAGGTCAAGCACTGCCATCAGGCTTCTTCATGGACGGAAAGGCTTCGATGCATTCCATTCCTGGCCATCCATGTGATGTTGTTCAAGTTTTTGTTTAGCCACCAGCATGAGTGATCGTCTTAGTGAATGTGCATGTTTAAGACTAGTGCATGTGAAGTCCATGAGTGATAGAGTGATAGTCACAGTGATAGTCTTAGTGCATGAAGGCCTTGTTTCCTTTTTTTGCACCAAAAATGGTCTCAAGGCCCCCCCCAAGGGGCCTCCCTGGCTGCTTCGCTCCCAAGGCTCCACTTGCTTGAGCTTCGTCTCCAAGGATGCTGCAGAGGCCGAAGACGTCACCTTAATGTGCACCGAAAGAAGCCACCTGCCGGTGTGCCGGTGTGCCGGTCTCTACCAAGCTAAGGAGCTTTGAAAGCGGAGCTGACCTTCATTCATGTCTTCTCCAAAAGGTCTACATTCACAAAGCTTTGGACTCCAAATGAGTTCGATCTCTTGCCATTCACTTGTCACCACGATTCATGTCTTGCTGTTTCTGGACTAAAAACCTTCATGCAGCCACCAAGTCATCTGTGGCACAGGAACCCGCTCTGGTGCGTTCCTATGGGCTGCATAAGCAGATTGAAGCGGTGAAAGGCACTCGAAGTGTGCAGAAGAAGGAGCGGGCTGGAAGCCTTGGCGGACAGAATGCACCGATGGAGGTCTCTTCTGGAAGCCAAACGGCGGAGGAATTCGGTGGAGAATTGGTTGGATTTGTATCAGAATAGAACACACATCATCCAAACACAATCCAGGAGTCATATCCATCCGACCAGGCCAGGAGCCTTTTACATCATTAATCTGCGGTTATTTGAACTGACTCCTTTTAGGGCGCAGGTGTGGACGAACTCTTCACGAGTCATACACACTCCATGAAATAATCATGGAAGTGGATGGCATGGCTCCTTGGACGACCATTTTCCTATCCAAACAGGTCTGTTTTGGGAAAGACCAAGCCAATAGAGACAAGCTGCTCCTCCTTTTCGATGAGTGGTTGTATAGTGAGCATGATTCTTTCGAGTGTAATCCCGCAGATCAGGGGTATCCGGGGCATAGGTATCAAATAAAACATAAAAAGAGCATCAAACAAAAAAAAAAATAGGATCAACAAAAAAAATGCGAATCCAAACAATGTATTCCTTGATAGGTCTCTTCTGCTGCTCTCCTGGCCCTGTCGTCTGCGGGTCCTCTGGTAATAAGGTCCCTTGGTCCTTTGGTCCCTTGGTCCTCCGGTCTCCTGGTCCTCTGGTCCTGTGGTCCGCTGGTCCCCTGGTATCCTGGTCCTCCGGTCTCCTGGTCCTCTGGTCCTGTGGTCCGCTGGTCCCCTGGTATCCTGGTCCGTCTGTCTCCTGGTCCGCTGGTCTCTTGCTCTCCTACTCCGCTCGTCTTTCGGTCTCCTGGTCCCCTGCTTGCGCAAATAGAGGCTTGATTGCTTGTTACTAGAGGCAGCTCCCTGGGAGGAAAGTGATGGTAGCCGTCCAGTCATTGAGTAGCCCTACTCGAAAAATGGTTCACCAGTAGAAATAGCTCCCTACGAGGAAGGAGCTCCTAGGGAGGTACACGCTCCTAGTCCCCTACTCCTTCCATCCTCTTCCCTTGGTCTCCAATCCTGCTACTGCTACTGCTACTGCTACTGCTACTACTACTACTACTGCTACTACTACTACTACTACAGTGGGCTAGAATATTTTCTTTTTTGATTTCCTTTTTTTTCATTGATCCCCGTTGAATAGGTTTTGTTTGAGTCTGTTTTTATTTTTTGATCCCTTACCCGGTATCCGGTATCCGACTTCTGCTTGCAGCAACAGGACATGGTCTTGAATGATGCCACGCCTACGATTAGCTCCGCACCCAAAAGAGCGTGGGACATGGGACGAACATCTCGACATCCATTTGGTCGAAGAGGTCCAATCGGTCGAATCGACGTTGGAGATGCGCGAATCGGGTCTCAACTGACTTTGCTCCAAGCAACCTGAAGTGACAAGGTAGCGACACGTAGTGACACGTAGTGACCCCAGGAAGATGCCTGTTGCGTTCCTTTTTGTCCCTTTGCCACAAAAAGCACCGGTGCCGCCGCTCATCGCTTGCCGACCGCCGATCCGCGCGGCGCGCTGGCGCGGAGGTGTGAATCCGGAGACCTTCGAGGTCACGGCCGATGGGGAGAAGCTGACCTGCGAGCTGGAACCCCTCAGAGATGGACCGATTTTGCTCGACCGGTTTTGTTGGAGGGGCTCTGCGGCGGACTGGACGGAGGGGCAAAACCGCCGTGACTGGATGGAGGGTACCATGCGAGCGGAGACCGCTGAGCCGGGGGTTGACCCGTGACCGAGTTGTTGGCAAAAGATCGGCTATTGGATGGAGCTGAATGGACATTCTGTGGTGGAGTGAAAGGTGGCTGCCAAACGAAGTCAACTGGTGGTAGCTGCCGACTCAAGGCCAGTGGACTCTGTGCCCAGGCCAGTGGACTCTGTGCCCTTGGCTCGGAAGTACTTCCTCTTCTGAGGCACGTCCAACTGGAATGTTTGGTTGGCGGGTGGGTTGGCCGCGTCCCAATCACACTCCCGGGGTCTTGTAGTGAAAACGAAGATCCTAGAAGGAATGGTAGGGGTTTGGGCGCAAAGGTCTCATGACCAGTTCCGAGCAGATTCGCTTTCAGCCATGGCAGAAATGCCGCTTCAAGGAGGGGACTGCGTACATCCAAGGAGAAGAGGGGGTGCTGACGCACATCAAGGAAGGGTTTGCGTGGTACTGAGTACCCTTTTTTTGTGTGTGGTACGTTTCCTCATTCTTCAGCAGCTCACATACCCTCACCAGGCTTGGCAATGGGAGTTCTCATCTTCCCCAGCCCCTATTGGTAGGACATCCATCATGCCCATGTTGATTGATCAAAGGGCCCAGTTCTCAGTCCCGCTCTGCTCGGCTTGCACTGGGCCAGGCATGCGGAACCTGCACCATCTTCCATGCCAACTGCTGTCAGTTCGGCCGACAGGGTGACTTCTGGCTGGTGTAGACTACGCGGGTCAGCAGATGCACGACTGCACGGCAGATCAGATAGAGGTCCACCGCAAGTGGTTTGTCTGCAACTGAGAAATCATGTGACATCATGTCTTAACCACTTGACTTGAAGCAATTACTTGTACGTGGGAAGAGACTTGGGCCCCCAGCCCCACAGCAGAAACTCCGCAGTCGAAACGGACACAGGAGGACCTCAGTCGAAAAGGATGCCGCAGGATCCATGGCAACGAAGGGACATGAGGTTCACCACTTGAAATACCCTGCAAGGACCAGCACCTGAAATCTTTGAGGTGGTTCCCATGCTCCAAAAACGGACTCTTGAGGAACTGGTGTCTTCCTCTCTCTCTCTCTCTGTTCAATCCCACATTCTGATACTCAATCTAATAGAAATGTCTGCTGCTGGAGCAATGACTATGGAGTGAGAGTGCAAGTCTAAAAGCTGTTGATAGGGGGATGTATAGAATTAGGTAGGGGTGCACGAGTCTGCTTGGTGGAAGCTGTATCCTGCAAGGGGGTGACCAAGCAATCAAAGAATAGTCAATTTTGGAAGGGGCTTAGAGGGGCAGGTAATCGATTTATTTGTGAGGTTTTATTTTTAACGGCTTCAGGCTGCATTCAAGTATTATGGTTTTAGGGTTTATCGAAGCCGTCTAAAACACGGAGCTTGAGACACTTGGAGCCCATGTGTAGGTTTCGACCAAAAGGTGCTGAAGTGAAGACTTTTGAGTAAGAGTCTTACCTTCTCAGTCACTGCGGCAGCTCCAATTCGAGCTTTACCCGTGGCAGAAATGCATCTGTCGGCAGTATCAGTGGGCGGCGCAAAGCAGTTGCTACTGGAAAAACACAAAGCTCCTGCGCTTCTCAAACGGTGACCACACCTGGCAAAAGAGGTGCCGCTCACACTGCCAACGCCCTCACAACACCACGCCTCAGTAAATCTTTTTGCCGGATCCTTCCTATCCTTTCCTCCTTCTCCTTCCACTTGAGCGGCTGAGCACTATGACAGGGTTGAGTCCCAGGGCAGCAGCTCCCTTTTCTTATGCTATCGTGGGAAATTTTTTTAGCATGTAAAGGATCAATGGCAGCACGCCAGTCGTAATGAGCTTTTTGCAGTGGCCACATAAAACTTCAACAAAAATCAAAAAAGCCAAAAATTTGTGGGGGGTGTTGTGGTACCTATATGGGTCTGAAAACAAAGAAATTCTGGGCCGATGTTTTATCAGCAACTTTCCCTACTGGTTACTATGCTGCAAAGCTTTGAACAAGTCCTTAGATAGTATACGCCTGCAGCATAAGATGCAACTAACCATAGCACTTGCCGATCAGCTGAAGCCACTGGCATACTGATCATCCAAAGTTTCGATGATCGCGCGCAGAACCCCACAGCAGGCAGTCCGCGCAGGTTGATTCCACGGCATTTCTGCTGGAAAAAGTGGAACCAGCTCTCTCTGAAGAGCGGCCCAGAGGTGTATGCCAGCTCAAGAAGAACAAACTCTTTTTCTTTTTCTTTTAAACTTTGACATCTCTCTTGGAACTTCCGTGAAGCTCCTCCGTTTTGGGGATGTTTTGCCGTGCCAGCTCATGAGCTTGGCGATCGTCGCAGGGGGCAGTGGGCTGCAATCCTATCTCGCCGACTCGGTGGCCCCGGGACGCGCGACGCGCGCGCGGAAGACGCACGTGGGGGACGACGGAGGGAGGTGAAGAAGTGGAGAGGTGAAGAATCCACAGGTGCGAGGCTCTTTTGGGAGATTCAAGTCTCATTTTGGATGTTGTGCTTCGAAAGCATAGTGGTAACAGCCATCGAAGGTGGGGAACGAGAGGTGTGAAGCCTTGGCTCCAGGTGTCAAGCCTAGATTCGATGGGACGATTGTTACAATGGATTTCATGTTGGAATCACCTCAAAGGGTTTCTGCCATGGATGCTACAGAGGTGCTACGTCTATCAAAGCCTTCCATGTGATGCCATGAAGTGCTGTGGAAGGCACCTCCAGGTTTGCCTCGTCCACACCAGGCTTTGCTGAAGATCTACGCCAGTGAGTGCCACATCGCCAACCGCAAGGCATCGCCGAATTCCACATGGGTCCAATAGGGGGAACCCACTCGGAACGCGTGGGGTTTGGAGGATTTCGGGTGAGTGGATTGCCACATCCATGGAACGTGTTCCAAACATTCATGTCACGTTCCACTTCATTCCCTTTCTTCCTTCTGGAAAGGCACCAGCTGTGAATTTGATTGGCTCAGGAAGGTGCTGAATCTGAATCTCACGAGGCATTGCACCCGCCGAAGCTGAGGTGAATCCTTTGGTGGAGCGCTGTCTTCTGGAAGCGGCGGAGGCACCGGAAGTGCTACCGGTGGCTTCAGAGCGAGCGCCGTTCTGCGGAACCGCGGTGACCGCCGGTGGGAAGCGGTGAACAGCCCGGAAGCGGTAGCATCTTTCGATGGACATGGAGAAGACTCGCATGGCCAGCCCAGGTGGAAGATTGTGATTGGATTCTTCTTGGGGGGGACCGCATGGGACACCAAAAATACACCTCACACCGCTAAAAAAGAGGCCAAAACCCAATAGGTCGCTGCCGCACGAGTTTCGGTGTCCTTCGTCCGTGTTTTGGGGGGTCCCGCCGAGCACATCGCCGAGCACATCGGCGGAAGCGTTTTTTCGCCACCCGAGAAAAAGAAGAGGCCAAGAAGGAGACCTTCTACATCGAGGCGAGGAGCGACAACGACCTCCCCCGCACGATCACTGGCTGACCGGCTGACGATCACCGGATCGAGGAACTGGACGGTGCTTCAGTGCATCCACGTGTTAAGTCGTGGCAGTCTTGTGGTTCTTCTACACTTGCATTTGGCTCGCAGCGTCGTGACAGAGCTGAAAAGACATGATGTGGAGAGCACCGTCAATCAACTGCGAGGGACACTTTTCATGTAATCTGTCTGAGGGGGTGCACTTTTCAGAAATCCTGCACGCAAGATGGCTGAAGAGGTTAATTGCTTGCAACTGAACTGGTGAGTGGAATGGAGCTGCCATAGACCCATGGCCCTGTGAACAGCATCAATTTTCGGCAAGGCGGGTGAACTCGCTGTTCAAATCATTTATCGTTGCTTTGCTTCAGCTTGGACATGAGGAACTTCACCAACATACCGTACCCATTCCTTTGAAAGCCTGCGAGCTTGCGAATGGTTTCTCTCAGATTTGGGGCTTTTCAAGAAGCCTACGGGAATGAACGTATTTGGAATGTGGCGATACATACATATTCAACGGGGAGTGCTATATTTAAATATTTAGGAGGGCTGACATCCGTGCATGGTTTTTTGGAACAATTTTGACAAGAAAAACCTTTTGCCAGGGGTGCCGGAGACACCCTCGGGAAGATGGGCAAATGAGCAGTTCTATCTATTTCCGGGTGTTTGTCATCGGCCTTTCTTGGTTTCTATCCACATGTTGAGCCAATGTGAGCCAGTAGTCTTGCATCATGCCATTTGGGGTTGAAATTGTTCAGGAATAGCTTAAGCAACAGATTATTCCTGGAGAGTTTTAACCATCAGAATAATTTTTGGATATTTTTGGTCAACCCCTGTAACTGAGGGCAGGAAACATTTATAAACTATTCCTACCGGTCTCCCTACGCACATCCCTCCCACCATATACATATTCATATACTTAGACATGTCCTGGAAGGTATCTAATCCAAGAAGACCTTTAATTGTGATCCCTTCACCATCTTCACCTTCAACCGATCCCCCAGGAGATGGGGATCAATCCTGGGAATGATTTTGTGAGAAAACCCTCTCGATCCCCTCACCTCCAACTTGAGCCGCGCCTCACCAGTGCGTTTGCAGGTCGAAGCTGCAGCATCCAGGATGGGCTGGCGAAGGTGGGGATCCGCACCCAAGTGAAGCAGTCTGCCACAAGCCTTCCTGATAAGAGAGGCCCCTGGACGATCACCTTTAGGCCTGGCAGGGCGCATATGATGGTGCAGAAACCATCCCGAGATCCCATGCGCTAAGCTGTGCCAGTTTTGGGGACCGCTTGGACCTGTCGCGTTGGATGGGCACTGGGCGCCCTCCGGTGATGGACTCTGCGTTCACCAGGGACGAGCTCGTCCTCGTTCACCGGTGACTCGTTCCCGAGGTTACCGAGGCTCCTCACAGTGACCCACTGTCCGGAGACTCGGACACGGGGCACGTCGTCGTCGTGGTGTTCGACACGTCATGGGGAGATGGGCGACTTGGCGACACGTGGCACACGGCACGCCAACGATTTTCGTTGTTTTCATGAGGTCGACACTTTGCCAAAGCGGCGAAAGAGGTGGAGAACCTCTATTCCATTCTGGGCTTGCAGAAAGGCCCGCACTCCGGCCGCTTCGTCTTCGTTCGGCCCATTCGACGCATCGAACGAGTGCGGAGCCCAGAGGTGCTAGCCCAGAGCAGATTAAGGCGGCCTACCGGCGCTTGGCCAAGGACGAGTCGAACGGTCGTGGAGAGCGAGTT